TGAGATATATACACCGCAACTTTAACACTGCTTCCTTTTCCTTACTGACTCTTGAGATATATACACACCGCAACTTTAACACTGCTTCCTTCCTTACTGACTCTTTGAGATATATACACCGCAACTTTAACACTGCTTCCTTTCCTTACTGACTCTTGAGATATATACACACCTGCAACTTTAACTTTGCTTCCTTTCCTTACTGACCATTGAGATATACACACCGCAACTTTAACACTGCTTCCTTTTCCTTACTGACTCTTGAGATATATACACCGCAACTTTAACACTGCTTTTCCTTTTCCTTACTGACTCTTGAGATATATACACCGCAACTTTAACACTGCTTCCTTTCCTTACTGACTCTTGAGATATATACACCGCAACTTTAACTTTAACACTGCTTCCTTTCCTTACTGATGACATTGAGATATACACACCGCAACTTTAACACTGCTTCCTTCGTTACTGACTCTTGAGATATATACACCGCAACTTTAACACTGCTTCCTTTCCTTACTGACTCTTGAGATATATACACCGCAACTTTAACACTGCTTCCTTTTCTTACTGACTCTTGAGATATATACACCGCAACTTTAACACTGCTTCCTTCCTTACTGACTCTTGAGATATATACACCGCAACTTTAACACTGCTTCCTTTCTTACTGACTCTTGAGATACTGACCACTGACTCTTGAGATATATACACCGCAACTTTAACACTGCTTCCTTTTCTTACTGACTCTTGAGATATATACACCGCAACTTTAACACTGCTTCCTTCCTTACTGACTCTTGAGATATATACACCGCAACTTTAACACTGCTTCCTTTCCTTACTGACTCTTGAGATATATACACCGCAACTTTAACACTGCTTCCTTTCCTTACTGACTCTTGAGATATACACACCGCAACTTTAACACTGCTTCCTTTCCTTACTGACTCTTGAGATATATACACCGCAACTTTAACACTGCTTCCTTTTCCTTACTGACTCTTGAGATATATACACCGCAACTTTAACACTGCTTCCTTTTCTTACTGACTCTTGAGATATACACACCGCAACTTTAACACTGCTTCCTTCCTTACTGACTCTTGAGATATATACACCGCAACTTTAACACTGCTTCCTTTCCTTACTGACTCTTGAGATATATACACCGCAACTTTAACACTGCTTCCTTTCCTTACTGACTCTTGAGATATATACACCGCAACTTTAACACTGCTTCCTTTCTTACTGACTCTTGAGATATATACACCGCAACTTTAACACTGCTTTCTTCCTTTCCTTACTGACTCTTGAGATATATACACCGCAACTTTAACACTGCTTCCTTTTTCCTTACTGACTCTTGAGATATACACACCGCAACTTTACACTGCAACTTTTTAACTTGAGATATATACACCGCAACTTCCTTTCCTTACTGACCATTGAGATATATACACCGCAACTTTAACACTGCTTCCTTTCCTTACTGACTCTTGAGATATATACACCGCAACTTTAACACTGCTTCTTTTCTTACTGACATTGAGATATATACACCGCAACTTTAACACTGCTTCCTTTTCTTACTGACTCTTGAGATATATACGCAACTTTAACGCTTTCCTTACTGACCATTGAGATATATACACCGCAACTTTAACACTGCTTCCTCTTTTCCTTTACTGACTCTTGAGATATATACACCGCAACTTTAACACTGCTTTTCCTTTCCTTACTGACTCTTGAGATATATACACCGCAACTTTAACACTGCTTCCTTCCTTACTGACTCTTGAGATATATACACCTGCAACTTTAACACTGCTTCTTTTCCTTACTGACCTTGAGATATATACACCGCAACTTTAACACTTTAACTTCCTTACTGACTCTTGAGATATATACACCGCAACTTTAACACTGCTTCCTTTTCCTTACTGACTCTTGAGATATATACACCGCAACTTTAACAACTTACTTTATACACACACTGCAACTTTTTAACACTGCTTCCTTTCCTTACTGACTCTTGATTGAGATATATACACTGCAACTCTTTAACACTTCATTGCTTACCTTTTCCTTACTTTGACACTGCTTCCTTTTCCTTACTGACTTTTGAGATATACTTTCCTTACTGACAACTTTAACACTGCTTCCTTTCCTGACTGAGTCTTGAGATATATACACCGCAACTTTAACACTGCTTCCTTTCCTCACTGACTGTTGAGAAGTATACCCCGCAACTTTAGCACTTCTTCCTTTCCCTACTGACCACTGAGATATACACACTGCATTTTTAACACTGCTTCCTTTTCATACTGACTCTTGAGATATATACACCGCAACTTTAACACTGCCTCCTTCCTTACTGACCATTGAGATATACACACCGCAACTTTAACACTGTTTCCTTCCTTACTGACCATTGAGATATACACACCGCAACTTTAACACTGCTTCCTTTCCTTACTGACTCTTGAGATATATACACCGCAACTTTAACACTGCTTCCTTTCCTTACTGACTCTTGAGATATATACACCGCAACTTTAACACTGCTTCCTTTCCTTACTGACTCTTGAGATATATACACCGCAACTTTAACACTGCTTCCTTCGTTACTGACTCTTGAGATATATACACACCGCAACTTTAACACTGCTTACCTTTAACACTGCTTTATACTGACTCTTGAGATATATACACCGCAACTTTAACACTGCTTCCTTCCTTACTGACTCTTGAGATATATACACCGCAATTTTTAACACTGCTTCCTTTTTTCCTTACTGACTCTTGAGATATATACACCGCAACTTTAACACTGTTTCCTGTTTCCTTACTGACCATTGAGATATATACACCGCAACTTTAACACTGCTTCCTTTCCTTACTGACTCTTGAGATATATACACCGCAACTTTACTAGATATACACACCGCAACTTTAACACTGCTTCATTTTCCTTACTGACTCTTGAGATATATACACCGCAACTTTAACACTGTTTCCTTCCTTACTGACGCTTGAGATATATACACCGCAACTTTAACACTGCTTCATTTCCTTACTGACCATTGAGATACACACACCGCAACTTTAACACTGCTTTCTTTCCTTACTGACTCTTGAGATATATACACCGCAACTTTAACACTGCTTCATTTCCTTACTGACTCTTGAGATATACACACCGCAACTTTAACACTGCACAATTCCTTACTGACCATTGAGATACACACACCGCAACTTTAACACTGCTTTCTTTCCTTACTGACTCTTGAGATATATACACCGCAACTTTAACACTGCTTCATTTCCTTACTGACTCTTGAGATATACACACCGCAACTTTAACACTGTTTCCTTCCTTACTGACTCTTGAGATATATACACCGCAACTTTAACACTGCTTCCTTTCCTTATTGACTCTTGAGACATATACACCGCAACTTTAACACTGCTTCATTTCCTTACTGACTCTTGAGATATACACACCGCAACTTTAACACTGCTTCCTTCCTTACTGACTCTTGAGATATATACACCGCAACTTTAACACTGCTTCCTTCCTTACTGACCATTGAGATATACACACCGCAACTTTAACACTGCTTAATTTCCTTACTGACCATTGAGATATATACACCGCAACTTTAACACTGCTTCCTTTTTTACTGACTCGAGATATATACACCGCAACTTTAACACTGCTTCCTTTTCTTACTGACTCTTGAGATATATACACCGCAACTTTAACACTGCTTCCTTTCCTGACTGAGTCTTGAGATATATACACCGCAACTTTAACACTGCTTCCTTTCCAGACTGAGTCTTGAGATATATACACCGCAACTTTAACACTGCTTCCTTTCCTTACTGACTCTTGAGATATATACACCGCAACTTTAACACTACTTCCTTTTCTTACTGACTCTTGAGATATATACACCGCAACTTTAACACTGCTTCCTTTTCTTACTGACTCTTGAGATATATACACCGCAACTTTAACACTGCTCAATTCCTTACTGACCATTGAGATATACACACCGCAACTTTAACACTGCTTCCTTCCTTACTGACCCTTGAGATATATACACCGCAACTTTAACACTGCTTCCTTTCCTTACTGACCATTGAGATATATACACCGCAACTTTAACACTGCTTCCTTCCTTACTGACCATTGAGATATATACACCGCAACTTTAACACTGCTTCCTTCCTTACTGACCATTGAGATATATACACCGCAACTTTAACACTGCTTCCTTCCTTACTGACCATTGAGATATATACACCGCAACTTTAACACTGCTTCCTTCCTTACTGACCATTGAGATATATACACCGCAACTTTAACACTGCTTCCTTTCCTTACTGACCATTGAGATATATACACCACAACTTTAACACTGCTTCCTTTCCTTACTGACTCTTGAGATATATACACCGCAACTTTAAAATTTAATTTAAATCTTTTCGTTAGGGCACCTAGTTTGGCTCTTGTGTAATCATATCATTTGTGATACTGGAGCAATTTGTCAAAGAAAGCGCGGTAACCTTTCGATCACTGCTTTGTTTTTAGTTTTCGTTTTTTAGTAAGTTGTTCTATTGTTACGTAGCATAAGCGCGCGCTGACTGTTAATGGCACGCGCAAAGCAGACTCGTACCTAGTCGCGCTATACGTGTTTTCTGGGAAGAGATGACTGGACACTAGGATGGACTGAGGTGAGCGGGGTGTCATGGGAGGAGGTAAGGGAAAAATAGATTCTGCGCGCACAGTGCAATCTATTCATAGCTCAGTTGACCATCTATGCACTATGGAGATCACGAGGTGATATGGGATAGATGCAGATTTACGTCATTGAAAGAAAGTGAACTAAATCATCCTAACTTTTCACTCTCTATCATCTCTCAAAGTTTGCTGAGCGTGAAGCCCTGGGTTCGAAATTGTTGTAAGTTGTTCCCAGGAATTTGCGGTTTTTCAATATGGCGGATGTATCAACTACGGGGAGAGAAAATTTTTTGTTATTTCTATAGGCTTGCATTAATATAAAAATGACACGTGAACGTCTGATTTTCTACGATTAATGTCAGTAGAATATATTTCAATTAATTTGTCATCGGAACTAAGCACAGAAAGATGTTACCGGTGATCTTTACACTGAGGTAAACTAGATGTCGAGAAACGACTTTCGTCCAAAGACGTTGAAATTTGCGAGAAATAATCCAACTTTGAGAAGTCTGATGGCTGATTCTCAGAAGTTGAAGCTCAATCACTCCATAATATCGATTTCTAATGGTGGGAGCGGAGGAAATTCAGACGGCCGCAAAGAGCTTGTTGTCCTGGGAATCGCTCTAGATTCACTTCCGAAGTCAGCCCAGTTCTTTGTTTGTTGTGGTGGAGTTTTCGTATTTTATCTGATATATGGATATGTTCAGGTAAGTAATGAGACAATATGTCTGTATAACCCCATATTTTATTATGCATACAGTTTTTTTTTATTTTTTTTTATTTTTTTATTTTTTAATGAAGAAAACAGAGCAGTAAACAATAGTTCACCTCTGGGACGAATGCTTTGTTTAAGAACACGATAGGGTTTTTAGTGAAATCTTTCCGAGGAATGACATTAGGTGCTAAACTTATGTAGAGAGAGATGATTTTTTCTACTTATCACGAGCGTGGGACAAAGTGTTACAGCATCGGAACGCGGAATCCGAAGGTCTGAGATTCGATTCCTCATGGGGACTCAGAATATTTTCTCGCTCTTACGCTCGTGACAAGACGAAAAAACATCTTTCTCTATTTTCTTACCGAGCTCAAAACTTGCCATCTCTTTTATTCTTTTTGATATTATCTAGTTCTAATTTGGAAATTGAGGCTTTACCAAAAACTCTCTAACAAATCTTTTAATCAGCTTCTAATCATCTTTTAGTAATCCTTTGACTTTGCGATACGCCTTGCCTCTTGCTACCAAGTCACCTCTTTGTCACCCCTCTTTTCCTTTTTTTACAATTTCCCCCCCCTCCCTCTCCCTCAATAAAATGCCTCATTCTCTAATAAGGTCTAAAAATATTTGGTCACAAAACCATGAAAACTGTGCTCTCATCAGGAGATAAATTGTATGCCATAGTTCCCTTTCCCTTCCCCCAGACTGGGACATGGTCATGGTAAAAATATAATGATTTCACCTCATTGACAATACAAAATGAAAATGAGGATAAAAAAAAATAATTATTGAAATACCATCTAGGAAGTTTGTACAGTGACAATATTTTCCAAGATTTAAAAGAATGGAATGCATATTTGACCAGTAACAGGTTTAGATGTGTGAATTGACTACATTTTCAGAATTGTTGGAAGGTTCATGCACACTTTGTGGAATGCTTGAGACATATCAGAATAATGCCATGTTGCTTGTAATGTTACAAACAGCATGGTGTCCACAGCAAACTGACCTTCCACTACTTTCCTTCAATTTTGAAACTTATTGACAGTCTTGAGTTCTGATCCTTTAGAATTTAGAGACCAACTGTTTTCTTATTTCTTAAACAGGAATGGATCTTTAGAACAGGAATGAAACCATTTGGTTGGTATCTCACTCTTGTCCAGTTTGCTTGGTATTCAATATTTGGAATATTTGAAACCAGCTTTAAAAAAGACAAAACGAGAAAGTAAGTATAAGGAGTTATTACCCTTTAGCCTTGAATAAATGAAGGTATCTGAACAGCAAGCAGTTACTGAATTCAGTTTTGCTTGATTTCATGAATTAGCAAAACTGAGGTCCAAGGTTATAGCCTTGAATAAATGAAGGTATCTGAACATCAAGCAGTTATTGAATTCAGTTTTGCTTGATTTCATGAATTAGCAAAACTGAGGTCCAAGGTTATCTGTCGAAGCAAAGGCTCGGTTAGACAACTCGGACACAAGGTTTGATAATTCATGATATTATGCAAAAACCAAATTCAAAACTTATTTTATTATACATTTTTTTAAAAACAACACCTCTTTCTGAGTTTGCAAAAGGTTGAGGACTCTACATGGCCAAAGGGCTTGGAAACTAGGCAGTCTTTGAACTTGACTTATTCCACGTATCATTCCAACGTCTAATGCTAAATATTGTATATTTGATTGAATGCTCTCAACCAACAAATTTTTCATATTGAGTCTTAAATGTACGATAATATTGGATCAATATCAGTATCTGGGCAACTGCCCACCTACCCCTCCCCTAACCCAACATTAACCCTAACTTGTTATCAATTGACTGTTGTTGAGTTAGGGGAGGGGTAGGTGGGCAGTTACCCAGATACTGATATTGATCCATAATATTTATCCTTGTCCTCTTCTTGTTGGCAGAATTCCTCTGAAGACATATTCACTTTTAGCATTCTTGACTGTGGCCACAATGGGACTCTCCAATACATCTCTTAGCTATTTAAATTATCCTACCCAGGTACAGGAATCATAATGAATTTAAAAATAAAAATAATTTTAAGTTTCATTGTCTCTATATTTTATTAACTCCTTAACCCTTTAACTCCCAGAAGTGATCAACCTGTCACTTCTCCCCAGAGTATCCTTACATTATCCAGCAAACAAGCAGTGAGAATACTCAAACTTATCAGGTACAGGATATTATCTTGATCAAATACCAAATTCTCATAACCAATTTACAAGGAAATGTGTGGCAGGTAGTGAGGAGAATTAATAATCGGATCTTGGGAGTTAAAGATTAACATAATTCACTTCAAATTGAGAATCATTAAGCAAGATAATTTCCAATTTCTCTGTGATGAAACCACTAATTTCAGGCATTATTGAAACAGTGCAGAGTAACCCTTTGTCCTCTAAGGGTGATAAGCATCTGATTTCTCCTTACAATATCACCACCAAATCACACATTAAGGTTACAAGAATAAAGGAAATGATCACCAACTAAGGAAGCTCTTAATTGTTGATTAAAACAAATTCTCCTTGTCAGCAGCTTAGGAAATGCACAGAGAACAGTGTGGAGAATATGCATACTGATGTTAGGGTGTAAAGGGCTAGATTAAGTAAATCTAATTTATTAAATTGAGAAACTATTGGCTCAAACTTTTCTAAATTTGCCCCTGATAATTTTCATTGATTTCAGGTCATTTTTAAATGTTGTAAGTTAATTCCAGTGATGGTTGGAGGCATTATTATACAAGGTAATAATGAATTGTGATTGATAAAATGTTGCCTGGAATTGAGATATAACTATAAGACAGTTGCTTTAGCCATCATTTTACAAAGACTTTTCTGAAAAATATTTTCAGTAGTTATGATGTAATTAGGCTCCATTTCAGAATAAATTGCAATGCTTTAATTCGAAGAAGACTGCTTAGAAAGTTTTTCTTTGTCTGTAGGAAAATCCTACAGACTCCTTGATTTTCTGGCTTGCCTGAGTATGAGCATTGGCTTAATACTCTTCACCTTAGCAGACAGCACTGTCCAACCAGAGTTCAACCATACTGGTAAGCTGTAGCTTCCATATCTCATTTGCTCGGAAGATTGGGCACCACTTCCCATGTCATCAACCAAAAATAAATAATGATAATCATAATTATTATTATTATTATTATTATTATTATTATTATTTTCTAACAATCTTTATCTATAAGGCAATTCATTATCTGGGTTATTTATAGTGAAATAAAGAGGATGCCTGCTTTGAAAAGTTTCTTTTTCTTAGGGGTAGTTTTGATCTCAATGGCCCTGTGTGCTGATGCTGTTATTGGGAATGTACAAGAGAAGGCCATGAAGGCACACAAGAGCTCAAACACAGAAGTGGTAAGTGTACACATTTATTTGCAAAGACCCATTTTTCAAGATAATTTGGTTGTAACAAAAATCTGACAAATTATGAGAAATTGGTGTTTGATGAAGATTACAATTTCTACCTGATAAGTTCGTGTATTCTCGTTACCTTTTTGTTGGATGATATATGGATATTATAGGGAGAAGTTACGTGGTAATCACTTCTGGGAAGTGAAGGGGTAAGGTTCATATAGCAAAGTGTGAGTTGGTTGTGGTGATCAATCTCCATACTTAGGACATCACCCTTAAGTGCTCGGCTCGTTTGTTTTTATTTTAGGTATTGTATTCTTACAGTATTGGATTTGTTTATATTTTCGTTGGTTTGATATTTTCTGGCGGGCTTGGACCAGCATTCAAATTTTGTGCACAGGTGAGAGGAAAGTAAGTAATGAATTGTTAATGTGGCTTTTGGTCTCACATATTCAATTACTGATTTTAGACTGTATTTTATGGAAAATCTGGAGATGTGGTGGGCCTGCATGTTCAGTTAGGAGGACGTTCGTCCTCTCTCTGCGTTTTTCAGAGGGACTGATGCAAACGCGAGAAACGAGACAAGCACGAGATGAGAAACGCGAAAAAAAAACGCATTTCGTTTTCGTGCTCCTCATCTCGCGCATGTCTCGCCTCGCGTGTTCCTCCTCTCAACTGTCAAACGCAAAAAAATTTGATGCCTGTTCTGTACGCTACATTTTGATCGGTTCGATGGTGCGTGTGGTAAGCGCCAAAACGTAGCGCACGATTTGCAAAATGATTAACCAAAATAAAAAAAAGATTTTTCAGGGTTGTGTATCGGTAGCTGAATGACGAAAACTTAATTTTTGAGTTTTATATTTTTATTTATTTATTTATTTTGTAGAATCCGTTCCAAGCCTACGGATTATCATTCCTCTTCTCGATCTCTGGATATCTAGGAATAACATTTGTCTTAACTCTTATAAAAGCGTTCGGTGCTCTTCTCGCTGTTACAGGTAAACATCAAATGAAGAGCTTGCTATTCATCTTTTAAAACAACCCAACGATATTTAATACCGATTTAATTCTCGTGCGCGATAAATCCTTACAAGGTGATTCGTTCTTTTTCAGTGACGACTGGCCGGAAAGCTGTGACGATGGTATTATCTTTCATATTCTTCGCAAAACCATTCACGATTCAGTAAGTGTGCTGGCAGGAAACCTTAACTGAGCTCTATGATTTCTTGACAAACACGGTTTTTCAATTTTTCATGAATAACTTCGTATGTTAAACCAAACGCACCTTGTCACATGCGATTCTATCGCTTGACACGGACCAGACGCGTTTTCCCGCGCTTTTCGACGGTCACGTGTACTGACTTTTAATCCTTATTGGTTGTTTTTTTTCCTCTTATTGTGATTGGTCGTTGTAATTCCTCTAACGGTAGTTACCTTGTCTATCTTTGCAGCTACGTTTGGTCTGGTTTCATAGTTCTTCTTGGGATTTTTCTGAATGTTTATAGTAAAAATGAAACACGAATCAACGCATGGCTTGCTCAAAATGGATCGCAGTATTTAAAGTTGTTCTTACGAAGACAAAAGGGAACTCCTTTTATGGAAAACGTTTGATATGAGATGAGAAGTCTATTTATCATGGCGCAAGGGAGTTATGCCAGGATATTGAGATGTCTTTTTGCGATGTGGAAAAATTTCCTGAAACTGGAAAGATATTACAAAATATTAGTTGGTGAGATAGAAAAGTACAGAAGAGGCAAGAGTGAACAACGGGGGAATAAGGATTGTTTAGGATGGAGAAGATTTAGACGGATTGAAGATTATGAACTTGAAAATTTCAGGGCAAATATTTCAAGATGCGTAAACTATGAACTTGTCTCAAAAGGGGTTGTCTCTATTAAAGAAAATATCTCGCTGAGGTAGAGAGTTTTCGAAAGTCTCGATATCTCTCCACAGAGTGCTCTGCATATTTTGCTCTGCTTCTGACAGTCAAAGCTTTTCCATTTCCTCGCCTGTAGACTGCTAGGAATCTGCTTCTCTCTTGATGAATGGAGCGAGAGATTAAGTCGAGGAAAGATTGGGCACCAGGCCTTAGTTGTTCAAACGGTGGATATAACGCTATCTACTGGTTAAATTACCATCCAGTGGATAGCATGCTTTGTTTTGTAAACGCTTAGCCGCTGAATGGTTTTATCCAGCCTTAAAACAAGCTGGGCCAGATCGACTAGAGAGGCTGTTTCGCGACCCAATCTTTTCTCGTTCAAACGTCAGTTGTCAATTTGCCTATCGTCGGTGCTTTTGGGTTCATACGATGATAGACAGACAACAAGTTCACTTCTAGCTTAGGTGAAGGATGTAAAATTTACGCTTTTATAAAGGTGTTTGCTTGAAAATTAGTTTTAAATATTAAAGCGACGCAAATATTGGATCACTTATCTCATCTGAGCAATTGCGCACCTACCCCTTCCCTAAACCAACTTCAATTCTAACCAGTTGTCAGTTTACTGTTGTTGGGGGGAGGAGGGTGGGGGTGTAGGTGCGTAGTTGCTCAGATACTGACAGCGGTTTGAAGTCTTTACATGAAAATTGGGAAAAACTAATCATTTGAAACATCGTAAATTATGGTTTTGAAAAGAGGGCTGTGACGTGATAAATCTTTATTTATTACATCATGTTTTTTGGATTTGTTCATGAAGTTCACCTTTTGAACTTGTCACGAAAAGCTATTTCCTCCAAAAAAAATGAAATATCGAGAGAGAGGCCTTAATCTCTTCGCTCTCATCGGGAAAATCAAATCAGAAAATTTGTATGATATGATATATATATATATAGATTATTTCATGGGGAGGGTACGCGTACGGTATTTTCGCACGAGTTAGTATTTTCGCTCAAAATAGTAAACTAAGAGATGCGACTATTTTTTCATTATAGGGAAATATTTAGTTGAAAGATTTAAGTACTTTGATATATGAACGATATTCTTTGTCCCTGCGTAATACTTTCATGGTACTAATGATTTTCCTTCTCCATCTCTGCTTTCTTTGGTGGAAAGCATTTATGATCGGTTGTATCGTGGGAAGTAATGAGTTTTATGTGTGTTTTTTTAGGGTGGTTTTACCCCCCTTGTGTCCTTTGCTGTATGAAAAAATAAAGGCGGAAATTTAATTTGAAATAAGAGAATAATATTATAAATACGTTCAGAAAAGTTGCTGAAGAGATTTATCATTGTGCTAGTAAATTAATTTACACCCGTCGCTGAAAAAGTAACGACGAAACAGCAAGCGGAAATATTGCTTCAACTTTAAATTGTTCTTATTTGTAAGGTGCGTGTGATAGTTGCATGCAATATCTCTGCCTAATTGGAGTAAAACGCCACTGTGTGCTGAACTCCGAAAGAAGCAGGCTCACGAGATATATTCTCTCTTTCGTGCAACGGGTTCCCTTCATATGAGAGTGACCATTTGAAACTCCGAAACGGAAACATCTGTCACCTGCCTTGAACGCCTACTGTTGCAGAGAGCACGTAGCCCGAGCTAAAACTTATACCAATCGCTTGAACTTGACAAACGTTAAGTGGCTTCTTCCTGTTCTTGAAAGGATCTCAGATCTTCCTGTTTCGAAAGAACAAAAGACGCTAATAAATTATCAAACGGCCTGTCCGAAAAAAAAGCCTGACATGAGCAAAGTCGCACTTAAACTCAGCGATATTTTTAAGGTTGCTGAAACAAAGCAACAAGCTGTACATGAACGAAACAGAACGACGCCTTCTCAACTGAGAGCAGGGTTCAGTAGTGCTTCCGGACAGAATAAAACAAGCTAATTGTTATTCAGACGATTTCCTTCGGGTGCAATACAAGCCTGAGATGCTTTTCTGCATTTTAATTTATCTCTCAGTTTGAAATTCCCAAAAGTTCCCGTCATATTAAATTCTGACAACTTTATTTAAGATCGCGTCAAGTCTTGTGGCTTTCGTCGCGGGTAGCCTACCTCGAGTGACCTTTCAAAGACGCACACGGATATTTTCTAAATCATGACAAATCGAGGGGTATTGTTTGTGGTTAATCAACTCTGCTCGCTTCGAGTATCGAATACTTCATGATTACTGGGGTGGATCGATCGGGGGGGAGGGGTGGGAGGGAGGTAGAAACATCACCGTTAAGCTATTTCTCACCTTTGTTTCTTTTTTGAAAAAGAAAAATGTTTTACGGTTTTAGGATATCACCGTAAAGACAGTTCAGAGCGTATATACAACCAAACTTTTCTCCTGATGTGAAATAATCTCGTCAGTTTGTAAGAGAGTCTCCCCTCCCACACCTTTAGGGATACTAATCGAAACAGGTCACGATCTTAAGATGCGCAGCGCAAAACTTGTGTTCTTTCAACGGTCGGTTATGACGACTCTGCTCTTTTCAAATTATTACTTTCACACCTAAAAATCTCCTTTTTTAATTTAAACGATTGCAAGCAAATTCGCTCGAACGATAAATTTGATTAAGAACCCCGTAAGCTGTTTAAACATTACATTTGCTAAGCACCCTGCCGAGTATTTTTTTTTTCCTTATATTATATGCTAATTTGGCTTCGATTTAAAGCTGAATAAATCATTTTCACCGCCTTAACTGTATAAACTCCCCTATTACAAGAATCCGTGGCAAACTTTACTATGACGTCGTCGAAACTGCGATTGGCTTTCATTGTGGCATATGTCAATCAATAGGCTGGTGCTGCCATTCTGAGAAAGCAGGTATGACTTCCGGTGCGATAGGCGCTGTCTCTTATTTACGGCGTGGCAAGCTGATCACAGCTCTGTTTATTCATCTGTTCAACTCCTGTATCTTAACGACCTTTTTTCGCTGAACTTGATTCAATTGGATTCGCCATGGCAAGACAGTGGTCTCACGGATTGTTCGGTTGTTTTGATGATTGTGGCACATGTCTCGTTACCTACTTCTGTCATTGCTACACGGCTGGCAAGAACGCCGAGGCGGTCGGAGACAGTTGCCTACTCTGCGGACTGGCCACTTTTGTTCCGCTGGCAAACATCTTCTTCATGGCGCAGATCCGTTCTAAGATCCGGGAACAGAAAGGCATCGATGGCACGTTCCTGAATGATATTCTGGCGACTTGCTGTTGTCCTCTTTGCATGCTGGTGCAATCAGCCCAAGAAGTAAAAGGCAGCCCTGGAGCCATGTCCATCGCTCGGTCTTGATCGATGTGCGGCGTAAAAAAAATGTTGCCCATAAAGGTATTCTCAACCAACTATCTCAGTAACTGAATTTGTTTTTAAAGGCTTCAAGATCAAGATACAGTCCAAGTAGTGACTCCATTGGCATAAGATATCTAAGCATTGTAACACATCTCTTCGTAACGCCTATAACTCTTGTTATTTTTGGTAGTTTTACTGACGATAATGATTCTAAAGTGCTTGAAATTTCAAAAGCATCGCCAAACAAAGCGTTATATTCTGTTTAAGAGCGAGCCATGTATTCTTTATGTATACTAATAGGGTTTCACCTCTCATGTGTTTAATGAAACGTTAATTATTAATGAGCTTGAGTGAGTTTGTATCTGATGTCACGATTTTAGGCATTTTTCAAATGATTCGCTGTTATTACGAGCCGTTACAGTTTTTCTTTTTTTTTTGTAGGTTTTTGGTTTTGATACCCGTCTTTGTGGCAATAAAAATGTTTTAAAGTAAAATCTATTTGTCCATAGGTACTTGTATTTTTTCCTTGTTCATTCGCGTGACAGGGAGTAGCTGCGTCAATAGCTTTGTGACGACAATTTATACATTTCCTTTTAAGCTACCCTTGTGAAACCACGCTTGATAACTGATACCGTGTTTTGATTGATGAATGGATATACACACCGCTGTATTGAAAACTGATATATCTTTGTAAAAGGTGGTAACTATACTCGCCTGCTGAGGGTAGAATGCTAAAAGTGGGTCTGTGTGGGCTTTCAGTGACATCAAATTGCTGTTCGCCGTCCTGCTGGGGAAAAAAGCCCTGGTAAGAAGGGGTCTTGTATTGAGTTCACCCTCAACTAAATGACATCTCTTCTTTGCCACGCGGAAACGGTAGAAAACGGAGATATTTGCTCTATGATCGCGTGACACTTTCAACTAATCCAATGTAAAGTAAGAGCGCACACGTGGCGACACTTGTGACCCAAGCAGTTTATTTCTTTTCAGCAATAACAATGGAACATATACGTATTTCTCCTTTTTATTTTTCGATATGCCCATTTGTGAGAGAAAAAAAAATTGAGTAAATTTGTTTGTGTCGATGATAGAGCGTTCGGAAAATCGACGACCCCCCATAAATCGGTAAGAAGAATAGGCCGATGGTTGCGAAAGTAACAAGGGTCGAAACAATTCACTCAGATTTCTTGGTATTTTACTTCATCTTTGAGCCATAAATGACAGTTAGGAATAGTGGGGGGGAGGGGCATTATTTGTTTATCGCCTGGGGAAGGGAGGGGGGCTTAGAGTATTTTGAGAATCACATAGTTTTCAGCGGGGAACCGAGGATCAATCGTCGCCAGTAGGAGTCTCCCGATTGTGCTCGTAAAATGCCGAAAAGATGCTTGCTGGAATGGCAAAGTCGCGCTAAAAAATTTAGCCAACGAGTAGCCGTACCCTCCCCTCCCTTCAAGGTGAAACGGAACCTCGCCTCCGTTTCATCTTGGTAGGGGGAGGGTACGGCTACAAGTAGGCTATAAAAAATTGCGAAAAATCCAAAAAGTCGCCATCTAAATTTCACAAATTGCCGACTAATTTTTTGGATATATTTATAGAAATGTTAATTAAAGCTTTATTTTTCTTTCCTATTATAATTGCTCTCATCGGTCTATAAAAATAGCTTGAAACGTGTTTAAGACTGATGTGCAAATATGGGCGAAATTTAGGGATACAATTAGGTCTAACGGAACAAAACACATGGTTCATTTGTGTTCGAAAGGTTGATAAACATGCAAGAAATTTACATAAATAGCTCATTTGACAGTTGCGTGCTTGGTTGCCAAGCCTTTGAACAGGAGTGAGGCTAAGGGTGACTTTGTTATGATAAAAACCTTGCTGCTTTTCAAATGTAAATGACTCTGTTATCATGCTAACTAAATACTGGTCTCATATGTATCACAACATGGTCAACTTCAGCCTCACTCCAAATCAAAGGCTTGGCAACTGTAAGTACACAACTATAAAATGGCCTATTGAAGTATGTTAATGTATCATTAAGTAGTCTTTCGAGCTTGATATGTGCTCTTAATCTACATTTTCCTCAAAAATTGTTAAAAAAATGCAAAATTACTCGAGGTTCCTAGAACTGCTAAAAGTTGCTCCAAACGCCAAAAGTTGCTCAAAAGTTGCCGAGCACAATCGGAAAAGGCCTGGTCGCCGACAGGGTATAAAAGGGGCATGCCAATGAGTGAGATCACAAGAATATTAGAGAGCCTTATGGTGGGATAAGGTAGTTTTCATTGCGACATAGCCAAAATCATTCAAACCCCCCCTCCCCCCTTGGGTGGTAAATAATAAACGGTTTTTACCTTCGATAACTGGACGGACCCAGGCTCTCAAAGAGCCTCGAAAATGGGAGGTGCCCAGCCATCTATGTTCGTTTTGAGACCTGTTCTTGCTCGGGCTTCTGCGAGATGAATGGGGTCACTTACGATGTTAGAGCAGGTTCAGATATACCATCATTTACCATTTCTCATTTTCTATTTACCCACACAATTTCGTCTCTTGACGTTGTTGATCGTAGCAACGTAGCTGTAGCTCTGTGGTGGAGCATCCGGCGCGAGTCTGAAGGTGTGGGGTTCGATGAGGGGCTCGTTAGAGGACTTTTTTATCGTTATTTTTATCTACTTTTACTCCAGGATCATGCTAAAAATCTCCTATCTTCAATGTTCCGATAATAGGTTATTATTACTTCAGCAAGAGCGTCTCTTCACAGCAGGATACCACTAATTTAAAGTAATCTTCACTCATGTGTAATGTTTACCTTCACGCCAGGGATAATGGGCTCCTGCAGGGGCCTAATATTTATCTTGCTTTCAGTACCCACTCGCCACTCTAGTTTCTCCTTATGGGAGAGGGGGGGCACTGATTTGCTAGAAGACTTACTTAGCATACTCTTTACTCGAGCTTGATCGAGGGAGACACTGATCGCCCTGGCGAATTTTGTGTAATCGAAGTTTCGAGCATCAGCCCTTTGAAGGCAGACAACAAAGACCTGTTTCAGACAATGGCCTTTTCGTGGTAAGGCCAATTGTAATGCAAATGAAAGTTTTATTTTCTTTAAACGACAGCCATTATGCAATAAACAAGGCGGCTAAAACTGACCATGTAAAGCCTAATCTCCATTTTGTTTTCCGACCTCACTTTCTCGCGTAACTTTCTTTTGCTTCATTGGAGATTGAGGTGGGAGAGGGGGGGAGAATGGGGGATGGGGAATGGGGGGTTTGGTCGTTGAATCAAGGGAAGTTAATCAGATACACTATACACTGTCTTGATAAGTTGACTAGCCGAATCGTGCGCTAACCGTCTGTTCGAGCGAAGTTGCTGAATACAGATAACAAAGGCCCGTTTACACGACGAATAATGGGAATAAATGATTTCATTTTGTTTTCCTTTGAGCCGCATTTCTTCTGTAGAAGATTCGCGAGTTCGCAACCTTATGAGATTGACGTCAACAATCAGACACGGTAGTTGATTTCTTACATTTGCTGTAATTTGCAGCGTTTCAAGTGATTGCGGGATATGCTTCATACGTAACATTTGATCCTCAAATTCCGCCCTAATAAAAATTTTCCAGTGGCTGAAGTCAATTTAAATTTTTTCTTTTGTATGTTGACTCAAGTGATTTCGTGGCTGTTTAGGAAGGGTTAGTTCCCATCCTTTACACAGAAGTAAAACTTGAAACCCAAACGCTTGTCTGCCCACGCCCTTCATTCTCCATACTGTTCTTTATATATTCCCCACGGTACTGACAAGGAGTATTTGTTTGACTATCAGAAGCTTATTGAATTTGTGATCATTTCCAATCTTCTCATGACTTTTACATTTGATTCAAAGGCGATATAGTAAAGAGAAATTGGAAGCCAATCATTCTTAGGGGTCAAAGGGTTTAAGCAGGCTCAAGTTGTATTTCTCATGTTTCAACAACGATTTCCTTTCTTAACCACAAGCGGCCTAAGCTCGAGCTCAACAAGGTCACTTTGTGTATGAAACCTTTGCGGCCACGTGTGGGAGGCAAGTCCCCCATTCTTGTATTTCCAAGTCTGGGTGGCCATCCGGTAAAATGGTTACAAAGTATTTTTTTTCTTAATTGCTTGTTATGTTTTCTGCGTGCTTTCAGTCTTTTGGCTTGGTATGTAATTAAGGTGATGACAGCGTTACGTCCTTTCTTTTCAGAACTGGAGGGCAAGTTGAATAGTTGCTTTTAAGAAGAATAAGTTCAGGATGAAATCCGAGAACGACTTTTCTTTCAATTCAAAGTAGGGCTTTTTAAAGAGATGTCTAGGGAAGTAGCAAGGATTTTTTGAAAAAAGGGGGTTGGGAGTCGCACTGGGATTTATCAAGGGTACCTTTTCGAATGTCTTCGCGACATTAACGCTGTGTTTTACCCCAAGCAAGATTTTGAAGAATAAGAATAAATGAGTTGCTAGTGATGGGATCCCTCTGCTATGCATGCGTGTTGATTCCTCGGTTCACGCGCGTTTTCGCCTCCTGAATTTCAAGGTTTGTTCGTTTTTTTATTAAAAATTCTTCTCACCAGCAAGGCAGGGGGTATTCAGGACCTTCCCCCCCCCCGGCTACTACGACCCGTGCCTAACACTGTTCCGAAAAAACGATGTGAGGTCCGGGGGGACTAAGAATAGACCACGTAGCTATGACAAAGCACACGACTTGAATAACGCAACAGAATCTTAGCCGATTAACTCTAAAAATCATTGTATCTCTTGAAGCTGCGATACGTTGGATTGTAAATCTACGATTAAATTTTGGTCGTAAAGATAGCGTTTATAGTCTGATAGGTGCGTCTTTTCTTATCAACTGCTTATTTCAAGATATACTGGAATTGTATGGAGAGGCTGCATATTGATCAAATCTTGGAGATAGAGGAACGTAAAGTTATCGATCTATCAGTTACTGGCTGTGGTCAGATTACGGCGATCAGTCGGAGAGATAAGGTTTGATACACAACACAATTTGAAACATCATTCTAGCTTTTTGTCAATACAAACATTGCTTGTGTCTATTGCCGGATCTCGCTGTCACGCCTGATGTACCTAAATTACGTCAAATTTGAATTAATGTGCCCAGAATAAACGTCAGGTTTTAGCTAAATCCGGTTACTTTGCAGAAAAGTTTTGACACAATAATAAAAATCGTCATAACTTGTAACAAGAGAGCAATTACGTCGAAACACGAAGCTGACTCATAGGCAAGTACTTCTTCAGTCAACACTGATATGTCATTTTGATTAGAACCCCAGGGTCATCATTTGTCAAACTCATCATTTATTTGCGCAAAGAATTAGAAAGGACAGACTTACCGCTTCGGTAGTTATCACTTAGTGCGATCCAGTCAACACAGGAATTTTCATAGCTCGGTTTATGTTACACCAGGGCTTACCTCTAATCCTAAACGTACAAAATTATGTCTTTCCTCATGATAGGACAGCAATCTACGGAGAGCACGAGCGAGGAGGAGGACTCAGAAACTCAGCCGAGCGTTATGATTAGCTCTGTTGATGAGATTATGGAGTCGGAAAGACCCGCATTTTGTTTGAATGAAGAACAGCGAAAGTTGAAGACGTTTCACGAACGCAAAACAGACCTAGACGCGGCAATCAAATGGATTGTGAAAGAAATCGTAAGCGCTTGACAAGTTATTTAATTCTAATGTCATACTCGAAGATAATCTGGATACGTGCTATAAAGAAAAATTATGGCTAATCGCGGAGATTATAAACAAAGGTCTCTCAATATATTAAATTCATTTAGCTGTACTTGAGATTAACGCCCCTTCGGTATTGGGATTTACACGTAATATCGTAAAAAACATCTTGGTTACTAAGGCGCAAATGTTTTTTCTTCCCATGATTCATATACATGCAATTAAGCTTTGATAACTTTCCTCCCGACTGTAATTGTTTTCATTCACAGGAACAATATTTTTATACTGATGTTATCTGTCCACAATAATAATAGCCTAAATTATTCCCCGCCACCGTGCCCCAAGTAAATGACCTTTCAATGAAGACACGTGCGTTTAGGAATAAACCCTGCATCAATCGATTCTGCTCGAAAAATTCCTGTGGTGTTTGTGTTACTGAAGTCTATGATAACGCGTGTCACTTGGGCGGAGCAGAAATGTTTCTCTTAGCTCTTGAAAATATCAGACAAGCTTCTGTATTTTCAAGGTTTTGAAAAATAAATATTCGCACAGCAGGAAATTGAGGAAATAGATGAATTTGAAGTAAGGGGTCACCTTGTTGTCCATCTTCAATTTCAGTGGATAGTAGCTTGGAAGTGTTATGTACTTGAACGTTAAAAAATGCTACGCTGCCTGAAATTCTTGACGAACTGTGATCTTTTGGCGGTAACGATTGAATCGTTGCGGGCGGGGTGATTGCCCGCTGAGAAAAAAAAAAAAGATTGAGACAAATAAACAAAACCCATGGAGAGAAAGATATTCCATGTATCTGTTCTAGAAAACACAGCCCGCGAAGAGGATCAGGAACCGCTTCAGCACGAGTGTGCCTTCGCCCGACGGAAAGTACGAGCCTTAAGCTATGCGCTGCAAAGAGTAGAACTCTCTCGACTCGTCTCGAGTCCTTCCGCGGGTGGAGAAACGCGCGTCCTGCAGCATCTGCTTGTAGGCAACAAGAAACAACTTATATGCATTTTTCTCTAATTTCTGCTCTGAGAATCTTAGCTCCATCAACGCTTCTATCTCTAACATCTCATTCGTTTGAGCTAAGATATAAAAAATTTCCCGTAACTTCTAGGAATACACATGTTCAAATTTTAACTGTCAAGAAAGCAAGCATCCACTTTTCTCTAACTTAATTTTTCATCCAACAGAAATTTCTCAAGCAGCAAGACCAGAACCTTATGAAGCAGTTTGTACAACTCCGAGGTGTTCTCAACTCAATCAGGAATTGCCCGCCTCCAGCGTCTACAATCGATCGAAAGATCAGTCTTCCCGACACCTCTCCGAGTTCACCAATCAGTCCATTTTATCGGATTCCCGAAAAGTCTTCGGAGACGTATTACAGAGACGAAGCCTCTCCGGGTCTCCGAAAAAGGGCGGCGTCAGATAACTCGGGAAGGCCACTTCTGACTTATTCCATGTCTTCATTGTCTTTTGACGAAAGCGACTTCACAAACGAAAACTTTGAGCACTTTGTGATATGAAAAAAAAAAATTATAGAAGATGGACTAAGACTTATGAACATAGTTTAACGAATAGCTTTTTCGCGCAATCGGATTTAAATATTTGTAAATTTTTGTAAAGATTAATTTCCAGAGTTGAGATTTAATAAAGTTCGGCATAATCGTGTATTCTGACTGCTGTCGATATTAGTCACTGACGCTTCATCAACCTGAGCGAAAGTCATCATCAGGGTCATTAGAGTTAAGTTTGGTATTTGATGCAAGTCATACACAGTTTTCCATGTTTTTATTACATTTATCTGGAATATCCAAATGGATCACTGCCTTGTTGACCGCATTGTAGCCCTCGCGTGCTATAGCTTTCCGGCGCTCGAGACACGTTATTGCTTCGATCACAGCCCCTACAAAACGTGTAGAGATCTCTGGTTATTCACCACGAAAACTTCACATAACTTGCAGTTCTTTTACCTCGCCGTGTTTCATTTAGAGGCGCTACATTGACGACCAGTCATTCGGAATTAACGACATTTCCATGCCTCTTTTCACGAGTAGAAAAGTTTTGAAAACAGGTTGTCGTGAGCACCCTGAAGAAAGTCAGCAACGGGAGCTGTTGTTGTCGCTTCCTCCACGGTCGTCATTTCGAACCTAGGAATGTATAAAAACAACAGTTCAGGTAAATAAGTGGGTTAATGGTCAGATGACCTGGTTTTCGTCTAGTTTGAACACCTGTTGTGGTAGTTGATCTCGTTCTACAACAATAGACACTGCTGCGAGAGGCGTCAAACGCAGTAAAAATCCAATTAAAAGTAACTCTTAAGTCGAAAATCTCTTCACAAACATAAGTCCAAAAATCTAAGTAAAACAAAGGCTGTCAAGGCTAACTTCAAGCTGAAGTGTGTTTGGTGTTCAGACCAGTATTCCGCTCATGATACTCACTTTTTCCTTATTTCTTCTGCTGTCTTCTGCATTTCAAATTGGATGGATTGAGCCTTAAGTTCATGAATCAAAATATAGTACCGCATTAATTAGCGGAGCTGCAACTACAACAATAACCGTACACAAGAGACCTTGAGTTTTTATGCTCACTTCTTATACGGGCATTCCGTGCCAGTGTTTGAATCCTCAAGGGATTATCATTGAGGAGTCATGACACAGCCGGTTGTCTATGGCCTTCTCGTCAGAATTCAAAACATGTAATTGTAAGACACGTTACGTATTCCTTGGATATTCCTTCCCATAACTAAGATAAGCTGTAGTCGTGGCATCCTTTCTGTTAACACCCCTGGGATTCAGAACGTATGACAAGACGCCAACACAGACTATGCAAAGCCATATTCATGTGTAACTTCTGCATCTATATTTCAGCACACCTAGGATTTTCCAGAATCCGTCTCTGATTGACTTTGTCCTTAACTGCACAGGTTTTCTCCAATGTGAAGTCTTTGTCGAAACTTTTTCTTTTTTGGAAGGGGGGAAGGGGGGAAATTTCACACAACGATTCCCACCCCTCCACTAACGAATAGGGAAAATCATGATTGACATCCTCCCCGTACAAAAAAAGGGAAAAGCGGTTGTAAAGGACGACTATATGAAAGTGGGATGAAAAGAACGAGCGCGACAAATGTAGATATCACCTATTGTCACATATTTATCTTGTATTGTTATTCGTAGCTGCCCAAAACCTGACGTTCTACAAGTACCTGTAACGGTCCAATATTACCAAGTCTCACAGCACTGGCAATTACCGTTCGGAGAGTCGAGAAAAGGAAAAGTTGTTGTGTTTGGACCACAGAGAGGTTTAACATGCCGCACATGAAGCCAAACACAACGGCAAAGTGACCAAAGAGGCATTTGTTCTCGAGTTGGACCTGAAATAAAGCAGTTATAGGTAAGGCCTGTTCTGCAGCGTATTAGACCACCTAGCCGCAGCTTATCTCGGTGCTTCCGAGCGCTGAAGAGGGTCGGACGGAAGTTACGAGGAGGAGTGGACAAGAGGGAGAGGGTTAGGAAGTAGGATTCCACCTTTCATGAACCGTGGAGTGAGACGGAAATTTTATCATTGAAATCTAAACCAGAAATTTTCCCCAAAACTACAGATGTTTATGTTTGACTATCAGTACTACTGACAGGGCACTTTCACCTCTTGATTACCTTACAACGTTCTTCTACAGTTTGAAGGAAAAAACTCTTCGTGATTTTCATCCTTGTTGCAGACACGTGAAAGGTTGATAACTTGTCTTCATAAAATTCCTGTTAAGTAGGGGTGTTGTCTTTCAAGGCGGAATAGTGAGGTGCTATCATTTTCTTTACCTCGTTACTTTTCTTTCTCTTTTAAAACATAAATAATGGGCTCAAGAAAGGAAAAAACATTGCCAGAGACACATACTACCTCAGTGCCACGCAGAAATGTAAGTTGTATTTTTATAACTACAAACATTGGTAATTTAGAACATACCTGTAAGTTTTTCATTTCTTGTTTTCCAAATGTTTTGCAAGCTGTGTCAAGTAAGGAGTTCCCCTGATAAACAACAATACCGCAAAAGCTTAGATACTTGTAATGCAGTGACACGTCACAATTGATCATGTCCTTTTAGAAGTTTCAATCTGAGAGACTTAAAATGGCCTAATAATTTGGGACTTTTAATGACCAGTAAAAACTTTTCTAACAAAAGAAAATTATAAAAAAAAGATCTTATAAACAAGCAGTTGAGACTTGTAAGCCACATATTACTTAACAAATAGATAACTCAAGTTCTCAAATTTTCTTATATGGGTTTGTGGTCTGAAAAGTATGCCTTAAGTGAGAGGAGCAGGAGATGCTTGATGGATAGCTTTATTCTCCTAAACACTAGTAACCCTTTGACCCCTAAGATCTATTGCTAACTCTCCCCTCTACAAGCTACACATTTTCTTGTAAATTATTCATGAGAATTTGGAGTTAAATCAAGATAACAACTACCTGATTAGTTTGAGTATTCTCATTATTTGTTTGCTGGATAATGTATGGATATTATAGAGAGAAGTAACAGGTTAATCGCAACTGGGAAGAAATGGTTAATTACACATATGCAGATAAGTACTGGGGGTAAAAATGCATGTTCTTATGCTAAACAAGTTTTACTATTCAAATGCCAGTTTTTTTAGTTGATAAAATAAAGAAAAATTATACAGAATCAACAACTTATTCACCTCAAAATAAAGATATGTAGTGAGCTTTATTGTTGATCAATATTGTACAATAGATTTATAATAGATAATGTATAACTGACCTGCCTGATGCTTGCTCTGTTTGCTACATGGTTACTGAGGTAAGCTTGAACCATTCCATCCAACTTTTTGATCCGCTCAACATTATGGCAATTCTTGTGCGATTCATTGACAAAAGAGAGACTGAATGATGCTAAAGATTTGACATGAAGGACTTCAGTTAGCTCTCTAGTTCAACTATAGCTTTGCATATAGCGGACAAAACATTGGGGCTGTGAGAAAAGGCAAATCAATGGCTCTTTGTGGTGAGGAGAGAGAAAGGAGTGTTTACTTTACATGGCCTCTGCCTTACTAGTAGTTAAAAGCACAGCTGAAGAATGAAAATGAGTATTAACCATAAAACTTCTTCTATTAGTCTGATACCCTACCTATTCACACCAGCAAAATATTTATAGCTAAACTAGGTTTAACTGAATGAAAATCTGAAATAGTGAACTGAAAACCTGAATTTTCCATAGGATTTAAGAGGTCACAAACTTGTATTTTAAAATGTGCTCTCCCAAACGAGAGAGGAGGCATGTGATCACAGCCCGTACTATAACATTGCATCACCAGTGGACAGCACATGAAAACATTTACTGGTTTATAGAAATTTTGGATTAATGTTTCATTGAGACAACTTGCCAAACTAGGTAATATGTGTAATTGCAAAGAACTGTTTCCTTTTTTAAATGATAAAATTCATTAATGGTAGTTTTCACCGAGTATTACCTGTGTTTTGAAGGCAAGAGAACAAAAAAGCTTTGAATGCACCTAAAAAGGAAGAAGAAAAAAATTACCATGGAAACAGCGACAAAAACGTACTCTTTACTATCAAACATAAATCTTGAAGTTGCTAACATATATTTACATTGTGTACTCCAATATTACAATTCACTGAAAACTGCATTCTGTTTCATACTTACTACACTCTGTTACAAAGCCATGTTTTGTTGCAGATTCAAATCCAAAACTATGTGAGAATCCTCCAGTAGGAAATGCTGCCAATCAAAAGATGAAACTGATATAATTCTAGAGAAGATAATTTTGATATACATTTTCTGCTCACCAGAAGTTTTGTGTTACTGTTACTGTTACTGTTACTGTTACTTCAGCCATATGTCAACCAGTCATCATTTGAATAAAGTTGGATATTTTTAACCTTCTTTGGAGATGTTTTTATAATGATTATTATCAACTTTACAATTGTCTTCTTTCAAACATAATTGCCTCAAAGAAATGTGTTAATGCTCTAAAACTGTAAGACTGTAAGGCAATTAGTTTCAGTCTTTCATTAACCCTCTAACTCCCAAGATCTCATAAGTAATTCTTCTTAATGTCTACCATACAGTTCTTGTGATGTTAGTTTGGAGAATTTGGTGTTGAATCAACTTACAATCTCCTAACTGATATTTTTCTTTATTCTCCTTACTTGTGTGCTTGATTACAATGTTTCATAAGTTTTTGTTTTAAATTTCCTCTGCTGTTCTGGAATTTGTGAGACCATAAGCTGGTTTTAAAGTACTGTAAACTGAAATAATTGAATCTAGTTGGTTCACATCTGCCTGAAAATTCCCGCCTAAATTACGCGCCAGAAAACGCGGTTGCCGCTGCTGCTGCTGCAACAAAACCCGTGAACATGGTGTACTTGTTACTAACCTGCTTTGTCTAAAAATTAGTCGAAATTCATTTGAAAAAACGTCAAACATTTCATATCCCGTTAAAAATTTCACCTCGTTATCAAAGAAAGGTATTGAGGCAAGGTAATATGTTCATCTTAGCTTTAAAATGTTACTTTTTATAGCCTTCAACGTGGAACACTTGACGTCTATTCAGCTGTTTACCGACATAATCTTGAAAATATCATTGAATTCTCGCTTTGAAAGGAGTATTGTTTCACTATTTTTCTGAAAATAACTTGTAATGAATAATACAAATAATGTTTTTTTTCGTTAAACAAATTACACCGCTTTTAAGCCTGCACGTAATTTACATCAGCTTTCCAATTACAAGTTACATACTCGCTGATATACTCATACCTGAATCAGCTATCTGCAGCAAAATCCATGTTGTCGTTGAATCCGTCTCTTTTCCAGTAATTTCTTGATTGTGTATATCAGTCATATTTTCTATTCCTAGAATAATCTGGAACTATGAACCTGAATTTCACAGGTGATAGCCAAAGTACTCCGCCATATTGGATTACTCTGGTTCCAGGCCTCTTCTCCAATTCTCTCCTTTCTGTTGACTTTTCACCCTCAGAACACAGAAGGTGGAGTTTGACCTAAAACCCTACAGTTGCTTCTCAGTGTGCGGTAGAAAATTACAGTAAAATGTTTCAATAGGGGAAGAATGCACACTCTTCCTCGAAAAGGATTTAATAGCTTTCTTTTTTTGACAAAGTTTATTTTTTTTCTCCTATCGAGATTGGAAGCACTGAATGTCGATCTTAGTACACGTTAGGACCCTCGAGAACTAAGCATAATATAGCCTCGTCGCTCGCCAAGGACTTCGCTTTAGTTTAGCGGTAGAGTATGCGATCGGTAATTGCTCGGCTGGGTTTTGATTCGTCATTTGTCATTGTGGCTTAAGATGTTTTCTTCTTTTCTCCACACCATTTCTAAACTTTCATCGCTTGCACATCGATCCTTTAAAACTTGCTTGTCGGAGCGAATCTGCGAATCCTATCGATTACACGCCAACTCCCCGTCTTCAAGATATCAGCTCTATTCATTCTAGTGAGAAGATAAAAATTCAAAAGTAAATTTCTTCATTTACCCCGAGGCTACCGGCTGAGGTATAGCCGTTTTGAGTGTGGGGTTAAATAGCGAAAATTGACATCTTTTACGACCAAGACGAACTAAATGAATATATCTGTTCTTCACGCTTGTTTCAACTCTCTGATAAACTGCGCGGATGTGTAGGGTGTCAGCGTCTTTCAATATCATATTAGAGCTAAATGCAAATGAGTATCGCTAATTGGTTGAAAAATTCTCCTTACAATGGATATGATCTCCAAGTGGTCAAGGATAGAGATCTCCTTTTTTTTTTCTTCTCGTTGTTGTTTTTTTTTCGAAAGATAGAAGATAAAACTGCCTTATGTAGTTCTGTATAATAACTTTCCAATGAAATTTCTGGTGACTTAAAATTATAATAACAGAAAAGATTTAATTTAAGTCAATTCATTTATTACCAGAATGTTGTACAGTTTTGTTATCATGGTTTTGCAATCGTTGTAACTATTTTTAACTAACTAGCGTTTCAAATGGCATGTATAACCGCTTCAACGCTTTTTTTTTAATATTTTTGTGTAAATAATTTTCGTCTTTTGTAGTTGTCTACCTTTGTTCTACCTGTAGGTTTGTTTGATTATCCTAAGTTAATGCAAATTTCGGACCTTAGCACAGTTAATTGTTTCATGCCACTTAGAAGCAAGGGTTTTTTTTGTGTGTGTAAAGAGAACAAAATAGAACATCTCCCTGTATGCTGCTTCTTCCCAAAATATCATGCAAAATGAATTCCCTGTTGTCCAGCAACGTTCTGTTAGGGTCTAACAAATGTTTCGGGATGAAACGAGATTTGACTTATGCATTTTTATTTAACAAATAGTGTCATTTGTCAAATAACACTTTTCACATCCACGCAAAGGAGGAGATTATTTGAAGAAAATCATTTCCTTTTCAATTGTTTTCAGCTGAACAACTGTTCCAGCCTTCGTGAAATGCGGGGAGGTATGGTTCATTGAAAAGGCGGGAATTAACAATTAAAATTTATGCTCAATTTGATCATAATTATTTGTAAGCTTTCAGCAGGTTTCTCAATGAAATTGAAAGAAACTTTCTTAGGTAATAACGTCGTGATAAGCTACCGTTTAAAAACGGAGAAAGAAAAATACGATCTTCACATTTTATGACAATTTTACCCAAAGGTGTAATAATTTTGAGGGAAAACGTAGGTATTTATTCATTTCTGAGGCATTGTGATGAAATCGTCTCAGGAATCAAACCTTTGATGTCAAAATAAGGATGGCTTTTCACTGGTTTTGGGTCGTTGGTTGGTTTATAACTCTTTTCGGTTTCCTGGGAAACACCTGGATTATTTTCATCATCGTGAAAAGAAGAAGATTACAAACAACAGCCAACTGGTTTGTTCTTTCTTTGGCAATCGCCGATCTGGGCGTCACTTGTGGATATTTCCCAGCATCGTTTGTTTGCAACATACTCGTTCACTCATGTAACAACAGCATTCGCTTTAATTTCTACAGCTTTTTCATCGAAGCCTCCACCTTCTCGATGATTGCGATGATTGTGGAACGTTATATCGCCATCGTTTATTCATTGAGATACGTATACGTTATGACCACTGCAAAAACAATCACTATCATTGTGGTATCTTGGGGAGTTCCGAGTGTTCTCATCTTCGCTAGATGGGCATACGAACTGTATTACAATGAGATTTCTGCCCAGGCAGAGCTCGTAATAATCACCATGTATACGCTGTTGTTTGAAATTGTGCCAACGATAATCCTTATCGTAACAACCTCGCATATCTTGTTCATCGCCCGAAGAGTTTCGAAGCAGATGTCAGTTCTGTTGACTCAGGTTAGATTTAACGTGGCGGCGAACTCTGCAAGAATACTGAACGCACCAGTTAAAATTGGGTTGAAATCATCAACGGTAAAATTAGTGGTTGCAGTTGTTGCTATATTCGTAGTATGCTACGGGACAGAAATCTACGTCACATTCTGTCAAGCCCCGTATAACCTTTGTGCAGTCCCTGACGATGTCCAAACATTCTTTTCTCTGCTAATTATGGTTAACTCAGTTCTTAATCCGATTGTATACGCATTCCTAAAACAGGATATCAAGAACGAGACGAGAGCCGTATTTCGTATCGGAAAGGATAGCAGATCACATTCAGGATCTCTGAGAACTGCTAGGAGCGGATTCTACTCAGTAATCACATCATGAGCGATTTCACTCTTCACTCTTTCTCGTGATATCATTGTTGGCAATTACTCTTTAATTTTGGCGCAAAATAAAATTACAAAGTTTCCATGGCCGCTTTGTAATTTTCATTGGGTTAAGATGGTGCCCAAGTTTGAACACGTGACAGGTGAAGACGTTACGGCGTTCAAAAAGCGTCCAAAAAACTTCCAAGCTTGCCTCCAGAAACTAAGGATTTATTTATTTACTTAACCATTCACACTTAAAATTTTCCCGAAGCAAAGTGTATATCAATATATTAATGGCCTAAAACGGATTATCAATCATATTTCAAACCTGCGGCGTTTTCAGCTCATTTACCATTAATATTATGGCTTATCATTTACACAAGATTTGTGGATGGTTTGGCTATTTAATCACTCGTGCTTATCAGCTGGAGAGGTATTTTTAATTTGATTAGGCGGAAGGATGATATCTCCTGCATATTTACTACGGTCTTAGACAGTTGAAGTGAAAATTGGTCTTTACGAAATGGCTTTAGAGGTACATTTCCTTTCCTGCCCAATCCATGTGAGTTCCGTATGCCCTATTTTGATTCCATTTTTGATCCAGCTGTATCAATTAAGATGCGGTTTAAAATGACCTTTCTCGACTACAATTTTTACTTAATTTTTCTCACGCTTGCAAGCGACGCAAAATATCCCACGGTTATATTTCATTATAGACCATTACAGGAGACTTTGGGTGAGGTTACTGAATAAACTTATTGCACCTGTTTGTATGTATAATGAAGGAATATTCTGATATAATCCTATTTTGTAATCGAATGATGCACTTTGCAGAGTGAACATTTACGTTTTCGACAGTCTAATCGATCCTGCTTTTTTTTATGATGCATTCCTATTTTAAAAAGAACCGCTTGAATGAAATTATTTATCTAAAGTGGCAAGAATTCAATTACAGGAAGCGAACACGCCTTCAATTTAGGGTTAAGTGGCCACCTGCCATATTTTGCTTCCAAGTTGAAAAATGATCCATGCTTTCATGCGACCAAAGTGATAGCAAAATTGAAACCAAAAACAAAAAAACGAATTATTTTGGGTTTGTCTCGCATTAAAAGGGTGGAAAATTTCATTTGTCACACCTTTTATTGTCTGCTATTTTTCTTCTTCCAAGTTAAAAGGCGGTCCATACTTTCATGTGACCGAAGAGAGGGCGAAATTGAAATAAGCAAACAAAAAAAAAAAACAACAACAGGAATTATTTTGCATTTTTTTTAGCTTTAATGGCAGAACAATTTAATTTTTAACAAATATGTTAAGTTCATCCGCAAGCTTTTTTTTTTTTTGAAATCCAAAAAAAAAATTAAATATCACGAAATCTTTTTCAATATCGACTATCGTCAATCAAACTCTTTTCCTAGTCAGCGGGAGAGCTTTCATTAAAAGAGTAATAAATTATTACTGTTGTTGTTGAATCGTTAGTCTGTTATGAACTATCATAACAACTAATAAATGAGTTTGATTTGCATAATCAGAACGTGGATTAAAGATAATATATTTATATATATATATATATATTTAGATTAAATTTTATATTACCTTTCAGGTAGAGCAAAACCAATTTGGCAAATTTTATTTACACTTACTTATAATATTTTTGGCTAAGAAATGGATTATAAATTATAGACAGTTTTTGACTTTCCTGTTACTTTTCAGTGGAAAACATTGAGAGATATTCGTATACACGTAAAAATCAGTATCATACACTATAGAATGGTTTAATTTTAGGCCTAACAGGGGGTCTCAATGGGGTAAACCGATAGCTGTAAAACGAACAAAAAATTTAGCCTCTAGGCGTACAAATTGACAAATTTTAACCGACGGTCGTAAAAGAAGTTAACCGTAAGGGAAGTTTCTGGTGACAACAATGGAATAGTGTTAACTGTTAGCCATAAAAACCATCACCCCATTGAGACCCGCTTGACAGTATACTTCGTATTGTGTGAGGTGTCCCAACATAATGGGGATGTTCTTAGCTTCTTTGGCCCCGTGGTGAACGGAATGACAGTTTTGAATGCTGCTTTAAAAAAGAAACGCTTAGATTTATGAAGGTGAAATTAACCTTATAAAGTGATTTTTTTGTCATCGTTTCTCAATTTATTAATTGCATGACAACCATTAGCCGTAACTAATCTGAGAAGAAAAACCATCTTTGAACATGGAAGCACTATTGAATACATCAAGGAAGAAAAGGAACAAAAGCCGGCAGGGAAAGCGAAAAAAAACCGGGGACCCCCTCAGCTAAACTTCTGGACCCGCCGCTGGTAATATAAGATATTATCTTGTAGATAATAGCTTCAGGGGATGATACGATTTTTTTTCTTTTTTTTCAAAGAAAAAAAAGCGGCATAATGATAATGATAAAAATACTTGATTTAGCGCACTTCATTAACTAAATAATTACCGGTCAATATAGACAGTCAAAATCATCAGTTACAAAAACGTGGTTCAGCAGTTTACTGACAAAAGGCAGAACTGTCGATCCACGTATAAATACATTTAGCACAACTTATAATTACTTTAAGCTTCAGAATACCATATTTGACTTCACCATTACTTTAAAAACAATGTCATGCATCTCCCAAAAATTTTTCAATACTAAAAAAATTCCTATTTTAATCACTTATCACTGATTTTGGTTCATATGATCGTTTGATGTGTATTTCCAAAATCCAAAGTCGAATGGTCAGCCAATGCTTATTCATACTTTTAAAATTTTAAAATGAATTAATTAATCGGGTTTTCGGTAAGTAATCCTCGTTTAAATTTAATTTTGAAAAAATGGGACGACACACACTAGAATTGTGTAAAAATTATTCAAAAACTGTATTTAACCTTTATGCGAATGAATTAATTAATCGGGTTTTCGGTAAGTAATCCTCGTTTAAATTTAATTTTGAAAAAATGGGACGAAACACACTAGAATTGTGTAAAAATTATTCAAAAACGTCTCGGGGAAACTTCGATCAAAACGAGATGCAACTTCACTCTCGTTTCAATTTAAGACGATAGTTTGCGTGCAAACTTGAACAGTGAACTGAAATATTTGTTATAGATTATTTTGACGAATAGGGAAGAAGCTCTCTTTATGTGTACTTAACCTTTATGCGAATGCCGAATTCATTTATGTTTGTGGCGTCTTGTTCACAACTGCTCATTAAAAGAGTGCCACGTGATCTACTTGATCAACATAATGTTACAAAACAGATGGTGCATCGGGGGAATTATAAACACGTAAAATGAGGTTGGAAGGAAAGTGGCAAAAATCCTTTTGTGGTTCGTCATGAAACTCAAATAGTATTGAACTTACAGATTCAAAAAGACCACAGTTTTATCGCCATGAACACCAGGTCGCAAATACCCAAAGGAAACAAACTGTTTTTACCGAAAATTGAATATGCAAAGCTTACAGAAGACAGGCCGTTAGGCGACGAAGACCCAAACATGAAGACCGTTTTTTCCGATGACGAGCTAGAAAAGAGCAATGGTGAATCTGAAACTGAGGAGAAAATTCCTCTGTTAAATCTCAACTACAATATGAGTACTTTCACGCGTTTTTCTGTTTTACCACCGATACAGGATAACGCACGACATGGGAGAAGATTGAGCTACGCGCGTAGATTTTCATTTGCGTCGTCGAACGGGTCAGCTGCTAGTCACGATACAAGCAGGAAAAGCAGTGAGGGGAAATCGCATAAAAACGTAGACTTCTCCAGTTTCGTAGCTCAGCAAAGAAAGGACTCGAGCGGTGAATATGATAAGCATTTACAAGTGGTTGGTAGGCCTTGCTTAGCTGAAAAACGCGAAACTCTGGGGAAAGATCAGCTTCGATCTAAACCGCGAATCCCTCAACGATCTTTCAGTAGCCCTGTGGGATCTGATAGTGACAAATCCAGTTGTAAAGGCTGCAATGTGCTTCTAATAAGGCAGCGTTCAAAAACAGAAGGTGGGCAATATCCTATTGACTCGCAATCAAGAGCTGACGTCGTACAACACACGTGTATCAGAAGTGAGGAATTTTCGGGTAAAATTCAAAAGAGATTTAATTCAAACAGCTTACATTTGCAAAGCGAACATCATGCCTACGAAAAGAATAATAACAGAATTCAATCCGAAAGAAGAAAAGGCTCTACTACAGCCACAAGACAATCAGAAAGAATAGGTTTATCGGTTGCAACACTTGCAAATGGCAGACGACCTGTAAGTCGATGCGAAATAGACTTGAATGTCAATTCATCTGTGTCATTTGAGCAAGATACACATGTTTTGAATGAGCAGCGATCAAATTCGCCGCCATCAATAAGTATCTATGAATCTAAGGAAAAAACCGCTTCAAACGAGAAGCGAGACCAAAGCGAAGAAACTGCATACTCTCTGCAAGGAATGCCACAAATTCAAATTTTAATCGACTCGCTTGAAAACGCAAGAGAGGAACTTCCAAAAGCTTCTATGGATGTTCCGTATACTTCGTTGAGGGAGAAACGAAGACGGTCGGCACTGTGTAGAAATAATTCGAAACAAGTGGATGATTTTCTTCTAGTGCATAATCTTCGAGATTTAGGCTTGCTTTAAACGAATTATTCAAGCTGATCCTTGCAAAGCCGATCACACGGTCGGTTGTGTTTTATTTTTCAGCTTAGCTGTCACAGTTGCCAAGAAACATTTGCGCCAATAAAAGCTTATTAGGCAAGACAGGTGACTTGGTCTTCCATTTTACGCAAATATGACTCATATGCATTTCCTCTGAAGGAAGCAAAAATACCATTTGAGAAGTAAATCTCAATAGCACTAATCTTACAGGTTTACAGTACGACAAGCCGTAAAAGAAATTTTCACTTGGAAATCTTATGGCAAAGATGTATGGTAATTATTATTATAAATCAAGCGCGAATTAGTATGGAGCGATATATTATTCATACCACCTAAGTAAACTCTACGTCGTGCATGCACTACCTGTGCCATAATGAAAAAACATGGAGTGATGACAATTAAAACCGTGAGGTTGCATACATAATCTTAAAAACCGGACCGAAAAGAGACTGAACGTATTTGGTTCCAAAATAAACTTATATATTTGTACCAGGTCGTGTATGTGCGTCTACCTAATTTCCGATATATTTATGACATATGTTTTATCATAAGGACAGCGTAGGAGATAATAGCACCTCGGTAATTGATTGTGTCTTTTATTGGCTCTTGAGATAGGAAAATAAGCTATTCTTGGAGATTCAAAACTTCAATAAAAATCTGTCTTTGAACCTTCGAAATCGCGCCGTGTATTTCGCCATTGTAGTGGCTATCCTTTATTTCAGTCTATTTCTGTATGAGTCATGCCAAATTTAGCGCCTAATGACCTAAAATTAATCAATTTTCCTAGATCTACTATCAGGGATGATTTTATCCCTGATAAAATTTTTATTAATGAAGTGAAATTAACCTGTTCGAAGGAGACTCAACTAACTGATAATCTTGCGTGGTTTGTTTTTTTTTCAGAGCCAAAGACAAACAATAAAGGGAAAACCATCTTTCAGAAATATTCAGATTCCACTTATGTCTGTCTTCTTTTAAAAAAATACAACTTAACGGCTTCATGCCGGTGTGGTGAACTTAAAGAAATGACACTTCGTGGCAATGTTTTCGTGAATAATAGAATGTTGACTAAATTTCAGTGTTGTAGTTACTCGTGTGAGCGTCAAAATATCTGCCATAATATTTCTTCTAATACCGGCAGGGCTATAATTTATGTTATCACAAATCAGTATCTTTTGTCCTTTAAATTATTTGGGTTGACTTTTAGCTTTGCTTTTCATTTCCAACACACTTGTAACACAATATTGGCGGCGTACGAAAACTACGCGTGTCCACGATCATCAGGCTTATTCCAACAGGTCTGCTTTTACAGCCTTGCACCTTAATTTCACATTTATATGCCATAGCAGCATAGGCCTGAGTGCTTATGTTAAATTGACGATAACCGCCAACTTTGAGTCAGACTAAGTTGCTCGTTGTTTCTTCAGTCATTTCTCTGAATTGGATGAGCACGACAAGCTCGCTCAGTTCAAGAAAAAAAAAACTTTGTAGTGCACACGCAGGATGCCTCTTGCTCAACTTAGTAAGTTCAACATCCTTTCCTTAATCGCTCAAAGTACCAAAAACCTAGTTGCTTTCAAAGACTAACGGTGGCCTTTCTGGTTACTTTCGCAGCGACTATCTTTTAAGACGTCCTCTCCCTCATCTTTGTTCCAAAAGCGGATAAAGTTACCATTCTCGCGGAGTTAATTGATGGAGTCGGCTCTGCCAGTGTCTCAGATTTTGTTTTTGGAAGTTTGGGTTGAATTACTGCAATTGTTTTTTTTCCTCCTGGCCTGTGTCGGATAAATGACAACGCTTTCAGCCTCACTATCTTCAAGAAATGTTATGGCTACATTCTAACGATGTTTATCAGTTCGTCATGGCATTTTACGGAAACGACGCAAAGTTCATACGGTAGATTATTAACTTCTTCTGTACTCATCGAAAATCAGAATGTGAAGAATAAACCTCCTTAATGATGGTTTACAAAATTAATTTCACCAATTTTGCCGCCGCATTAAATCAAGACAAGAGTTTGTCATTTCTATTGCAAATTTACGGGAAACGAGCAAATTTTTTAGAGTAGCTGCGATTGGTGTGGTTGCAAATCCCGCTACGGAGAATATCTGCAGTCTTTTTCGGCTGACCGTGAAGGGTTGTTTGCACGTAAGACGAAGCGCAGTGAAAATTCTTAGAATTCTCCCCCAAGAAGCCGTAGAGATGATGATTATTGTTGACTTTGTCTCAATAACACGGAGTTAATTAAGCGAATGAATGTTGGCAAAAACCGTGGCAGTCAACGCAAAGATATATGTATTTAGGAAATACAGGACAAAAGCGTTTTTGTAGGACAGAACGTAAATGTGAAAAATCACAGAAGCTTCGTGGAAAGCATCCGCTCATGATGCTGACATCGGACTCCGTCAGAGAAAGAACAAACCCATTTTCTATTATTTTTTATTATCTTATTTTTTTTAATTCTATACTAAGTTGTTTATTTTTTGTGTTCTTCTCTTCGCAATAATGAAAATAATGAGTGTTCCGCACCAATCTACGATCCAAAAACCAGTGAAATACCATCCTCGTCTGAATATGCGCCGGCGCATGTGTTACACTTCTTTGTCAGTTTACGCACTTTGTGAAGTGAAGCCTCTTGTAGTCAGCTGGTTGAAGCCGTCATTTAAATTCCAATCTGCATAAAGAAGTATAGCACATCCTACACAAACATTTTACATTCACCCTCCTTTCCTGGAAAGACTAATACTGAATCAGCGCTAAGTAGCCAGTTTATGATAGCCTCTTACTGACTGGAATTAATCGCTGAGCAGTCAGTGGAAAGATTGTTTGAGAAATTTAGGCAAAAGAGAATACAAGAAAACTTGGAAGCCAGGCCTACGAAAAAATAAAAGATTATCATTTATTTTTGCCAACCTATCCAAATTAGACTTAAACATTACTCTGATGACTCAACACGATTCGAAAGAGAGTGTGGACGGTAAACTGACGTTACAGAACTGTGAAGATAATTAAAATGGGTCAAACTTCAGCATGACTTTTTCGCTTTAGCATCAAAACAATTCCCAGGTAGGAAAACGCTTCCTTAATCGACCGTCGGATTGTTAAAGATGTCACATAAAGGCCTCCACACCGGTTTGTTTGCTTTAAAGCCAAATTATTTGATAAACTATGTATTTTCCTGATAATCTTAATTTGAATTATATTTTTCTCTGTGAGGTCCATTACTTCGTTGAGATGCCTGTCTCATGAACATCACATGGTTCGTCAGGACCAAGATATAAATTATTCTTATTTGTGCAGACAAAATTTTCATAAGTGCTTGCCGTCCAAGAAGGGGATTATGACTGTTGAGAAAAACAGGATTAAATTTCTGCAGTTACGTGGTTGTATTTCTTAACAGCATTTAAGATTTTTATAAGTTATTTTTGATTTAATTCTCTTTAGCTGTGTTCTGATATAAGAATCTCTCTGCCTTTTTGACATCTATTCGCTGAAATATATGGTTAAAGGCTCGCAACAGAGAATGTTGTTGTTTACAAGCTCTTTATTCATTGTTAGATTCAATCATGCGGAGGATTTTAGAAGTCATTCGTTTTTCTTTAAGCCTTTAATGATCACATTTTCGGCTTTTTCAGGCCTTTTAGCTGACACTGACAGCAACAAGAGACTCAGAAAACGTCCTGAATTGTGCTTCAGGCAGAGTGTACACCATGCCATTTGTACACCAAAGAAAACGAAACTTGTTCACAACACATTACGGCGGCAAATAGCTGTCTCCACTGATCAACCTAAGAATGTGCTAAATTAAAACGCATCTAACAAGTTCGGTAGTCTTTTTTAGTCAGCATTGCTGGAAGGAAATCGGCCCATATCTTTCTATTCTGGATAAACCTTTAAGACACGTAGTTTTACGTGCCCCTTGCAGCAAAGAAAAGCTTTTGATTCTCTCCTGACATCTTCTTTGAGGAAAGCGTATACAAAAGGATTTAACGTAGAATTGGCCAACAAGAGCAAACTAGTTGCCGTCACCTCACGTTCAGAAACCTTACAAAGATTAAGGGTATTACAGATCTAGATGTGGAGTTGGGTCCCATAATGTGCTATAAAAATGATAACGAGATTAGTTACCAACCTCACTGTGGAAAGTTTTAGGCCCACGTTTCTAACTTCAGTTACTTGCATGGAGTTTATTGCTATGTTGAATTTAACTTGTTTCAAAAGAGCTTTCATTTCGAGGGAGAGTTTGCAAGCAATTACCACGATATGCAGATGTGCAGCTGAGAGTTAAAGAGCTGGTAACAGTTCAAAGAGCACTGTGTAAATGACAAAAAAATGCAGACTTTTCTCAATCGAAGCTTTGCTGAGAAAAAATGCATTAAAGAGAAATGGAATTACCCAACAGATTGCAATGATCATGAATGTTCTCCTGGTGGTGGTAAACACACGGACGTATTTCAACGAATGCGCAATAGCGATGTAACGCTCTGCTACCATGGCAATTAAGCCCATGGAGGAAACGTCTCTGAAGAAAAAGGCGAATGTTATAATTATACGAACGCCGTAATCGCATTTATCCGCCACACAGATAGACACACAGATCGGCCACCACCAAAGAAAGAATGAACCAATTTGTGGTTGTCTGTAATCTTCTCCTTTTAGCAATGATTGAAATGACCCAGATGTTTCCAACCAGACCAAAGAAGATGAAAAACCATCCTACGATCCAGAACCAGTTAATAATCATCTTTCACTAGCTGTGTGACTTAATCTGGATCTGACACTGAAAATTAATTTGTAACTAGGAACGTCAACGGAAGCATGTCAATATGAGGAGTAATTAATTGAAGGATTTTCACTTTGCAAATTGACAGTTTATAACAGCCAGAAACAATTTAACAAAAGAGATCTTTCTGTTGCTAACCAATCACTCCCTAAGAGCCGTTCATAACATTTGGTGACATCACTGATATATTTTTGAACAGTTTCTGCAATTTGAGATCTTCTCCTATAGAAACGGATGCTATTAGCTTGCAAAATAATAATTAACTTACCCATTAATAGTCACTCCACCTCGGCGGTTTTTCTTTGTCACAGAACTCTACTAAACCAATGATGGTTATGTCATGGCTATGCAGAAAAAAACCATTGTTATCTCTTTTCTTGTGCCCTATGGCTTGCAAACCGGCCCTGATAGGTGTTTCGGCATGGAGGTTGTGACATGAGCCGCTAAGACACATTAATACGGGGTAGTCGTGCCGTAACAACAAGATCTATTCACGAATAAGCTACATATTTTTTAGCGTAAGCGTAAGAAGCGTTTCCTTCACTAAAGTACTTAGTGAAAACATAGATATAGAAATCAGTATCAATGAAAAGGGGAAAAATTAATGCTGCCTTCATTAAGTTTTTGTCATAATGAGTGTGTTTTCCTTTTTTATGAAGCAGTTGGCGCGGTATATCTGCGTAGCATGTCCTGAGCTGTAAGGAGTAACCACCTTCAATATCATCTACTTTGTAAATAAAAGTTCGCATTAACGTTTTACTCCTATACGCAGTTTGCCAACGCTAAGCTAATCAATGAACCTTTTTTATTAGTAATCGACTCACCTACAATGAATGGACTCAAATAGACGATATATATGCTACTACAGCTTAAAAAAAAAGAGTGCAACATTTCTCTTAAAACACCTATATCTATATATTTAGGTACATAGGCATAACTTTCTACTGCAAAACTTGAAGTATATTGATGTCATCTAAGATTGGTGCCTAGATATAGAAAATTATTCAGAATCAAATTTCGCTGTAATCAAAATTTAATCAATGTTCAGAACGAAATTAAGAGACGAACCGAAGTTAGAATTTTTTGTTTAGCATTGGTCAAAAAAAGGAAATAACTAGGTTTTTTGGGTTCAAAAGACGCAAAAATTAATTGTTGAAAAAGACTGGCTGTTCACTGAGATGCCAAACTTACGGACATTTGAGGGAGTTTTTCAATTTTCTGTCATTGACTCACACAGTAAAATAAAAATGTTCCTTTACCAATGACATTTGCTTTAAATTTCTCATGAATTATTTGTCCGTGCTTATCATGTTTATTCTTAGTACAATAAAATTAGAAAATTGTTTTAGGAATAAGAATGCACCTGCTGGTTTTTCTTAATGGATTGTGACTCAAAAGTTGATCCCCTGCCTTAATGCTTAACTTTGTATAATATCACGCCATTTTTTTAAAAAGAAGAACAGTGCTATGGCGGCAAGGGAGGAAAAGTGTGTAAGTTGATAAAACTGATTTTGAAGTCTATATTGAAGACTAAAATGATTTATCACTCTACTATATGCCAAGAACACAATTGTCAGGGAGTCGCTGAAGTGTTAACAGGATAGCGATATTGTTTGCAAATTAGACGACCCTATACTTTACTTAATTGAAATTTTCCTTGCATTTTCCGGCATATGAGACCAGAAATAGGTTGATAGATCACAAGTTTGCTCAATGGGAATTGTTAGCCGGTGCTGGACGAAGACTTATAATGCAGCCCAAAATTCGATTCTAGGACAATTTGTCGATCATTCTGAGCAGTTACTAAACTTTTAGGGTAGAATTTTGAACGGAGAAGTTAGAAAGGCATCTGTCAGTGCTGTCTAATATGAATATGCACGTCGAAAAATGGGCTTTTTGTTTTTTGTCGAGAAGCTTTCTCTTCAATTAAAGTTGGAGACACTCAGTGAATAATTCATAACGGCAAATGGAAGCGCGTTTCATTATTTCAACAAATGCGTGCAGCTTTTAGCAAAAATGATGCTCTCTCATCGTACAAGGACCACATCCCAAAGACTTTGATCAAAACTTTTATTCAGCAAAATGCTCAGCAAACGCGTAGAATAGAAACGCATCACCAAGCAACATTCTGTGGCTGCTCTGTGGTTCTTTATCCGTTGGCTACGTCGGAACATCGATCCCGTGCCTACGATAACTTTGAAAAGGCTCTATCCAACTGAATGACAACGGAAATCGTTTTGTGGCTTTTCGCTTTACTACAATTAGGATTAAATTCAAATCTATTTTACAAAGGCTACCAGTTTTTTGTTCAGTCATTATCTAATTTATAATCAGCATTGCTTGAATGAACACTTCACTAAGCTTAGCTTGTTACTTTGAGTGAACTTGAAGGGGATGTTGTTTTAGAGTCCTCCAGAGGCAGAAAGTTTTTGACTCTCTCTTGATATTTGCTTTGAGGAACGCGTAGACAAGAGGATTTAGCATAGAATTGGCCAGAACTAGCAAATGAAATGCTACTTTTTTACGTGTAGCTAGATACAAATTTTAAAATAAAAGCATATCACGACAGCCGCCCTTTCAGAACAATAAGTGAAGAAACTGATGGCTAAAATTTGCAAAATAATAGAGAACGCTATAACATGTCCTTTTTGTTATGTAACAGAGTAAGTAACGTCATAACAAAGCATCACTGCTAGTACACAACACATTTTCTACTGGTGTTATTTAGCCCGAGAAGCTGCAACAAAGCACAAACCAGAATGTTGAAGTTGGAAGCAGCTCAACCTTTAATGGAAAATAATCGATTGTTTCCGGTCGCAAAATGTAGCTTAACTTCAGAAAAAGTAGGCTTAATTAATGGCAACGCAAAATATGTCCCTGTTGTCCACAAATAATGAAGTACGTTTACGTGATAGATGACTGAACTGGCTGTAGTTTTTGTGTCAGTAATCTATACTTGCAAACAGCCTCTGATAGGTGCATCGACACGGGGGCTACGGCAGAAGCAGTGAAGCCGTGAAATAAAAACTAGTCGAGCTTGAACGTCGGTCAGAACCTGTTCATAGAGTATTACAGTTATGCCCAGGTGTAAGAGGCGTGTTCTTCAAAAATGTATTCAGGTCTTCCTGAACATAAAATGAAAAGCTGCGAAAAAGCAGGGGGAAATAATGCTGTTCTAATTAGGTGTAGCATGGGTGAATATATTTTCGTTTTTTATGCGATAGATCTGAGTGGCATGTCCTGACGCCATGAAAAATAAATGAAATATATAAATGACAACAGACCACCCGTCAATAAAGTTACCTGAAGAGCGATATTGCTTGCAAATTAAACAACCTTTATTTGCTTCACTGAATTAAGACTATTGGCAATAATTCTCCTGTCGTGTCCCAGTTTTTTCCTATTTTTTAGTCGGCATTGCTGGAAGGAATTCTTCCAGCTCGTTGCTACTATGGATGAACCTGGAAGGGACGTAGTTTTGGTTCCCTCCTGCGGCAAAGCAAAGCTTTTGTTTCTCTCTTGATATCTTCTTTAAGGAACGCGTACACAAGAGGATTTAATGTAGAATTGGCCAATAGGAGCAAATTTGTTGCCGCTAGTTCATGATCAGATACATTACAAAGATTGAAGTAAGTGCAAATGTACGCACGGATTTCTAGTCCGCAACATGCTATAAATATAATAACAAGTGCAGTCACTAACCTTACGGTGGACGTTTTTATTCCAACATTTCTAACTCCCATTATTTTCACCGAGTTTGCCTCTACGTTAAATCTAACCTGTTTGAAAAGAACTCTCATCTCTCTAGAGCGTTTTTGAGTAATTACTAGAATTTGAAGATGTGCCACGAAACAGAGTATTGTTGGTAAAACTAGGAGGAGTGCTGTGTAAATAGCAACGAATATAGGTGTTCCTATAGCGTAATAATCGATGCTGGTAAGATAGATGATGAGTTCATAAACGAGTAAAAGAAATGGAATTGCCCAACAGGTCGCGATGATAATAATTGTGTTTTTGGTCGTCATTAAACGGACGTATTTCAACGAATACACGATAGCGATATAGCGTTCTCCAATCATGGCTGTCAAGCAAAGGGCGGAAGCTTCTAGGAAGAAGAAAGCGGTTATTATGCGAACGTCGTTGTTACATGTATTCACAAGCACATTGCAGATCATGGACGCCGGAAAATGTCCGCATGTAACACCCAGATCGGCCACCGCCAAGGAAAGAATGAACCAGTTGGTTGTCGTCTGTAATCTTCTTCTTTTAGCGACGATGAAAATAATCCAGCTGTTTCCCAACAGACCAAAGAAAGTAAAAAACCAACCGACAATCCAGTCAATATCCATCTTCTACTCGTTGTGAGGCTGAGTTTGGATTTGATATTAAAAATTTATGGACGACTTGGAGCGTTGATGGATGCATAGGTATTAAATTGACGGATTTTTCAGTTAGTAACTTAAGGGTGAGTTGTTTAATACACGTCTGAGTGCGACTTGCTGGAGAGTTTAGAGAAATCATCTTAATCCTTACTGGACAACAAATGGCAGTCACCGGCCAATTACTGACTTGTGCCCTGTTAACGTCGTTAAGTGTGCTCAGTAATTTATTTATGCTCAGTTTCTGCATATTCGGGTGTTTTTATCACTTTTGTTATTTAAATAAATCAACAAACACAGTTACTCCTTGTCATGTCAGCTTATCACTCTGACAAAATGGGTTATGTCGGTAATAAGTCATTTTAACCTGCCATATATACATATCTCATGCGATCCTACAGAGTTGCACCTTCTAAAAGTCATTGAATGATATAATACAACACATTTTATGCGCGTATTTAAGCTGTAAAGCGACAACAAAACGCAAAGACGGGAGCCGCTAGACCTTTAATGGAGAATAATCCTTTTTTTTTTACGGCCGCAAGACTTAACTTAACTACCAAAGAGGGGGAAGCGGAGGGGGGGCTGAGTTCATGGCGATAGAGAACAAGCCTTGTTTTCCCCAAGATATGAAGTATACTGGTGCTATGGATGACTGCACTAGCCAATATTTTTTTGCTTCAGTACCCTTCAGTCTGGAAACAGCCCCTGATAAGTGCTTAGACATGAGGGCCACAGCAGAAGCAACGAAGCCACTGACGAGATACCATCCAGTCGCGGCCTAACGTTAGAACGTGCTTGTAGGCTTCTTATTGTTAAGCTTAAATTAATGTTAAAAGCGATATCTTCAAACTAATAGGTCTCAGTGAAAGCATGGATATGAAAGGCTATGTAAAAAGCAAGGGGACAATGTTAGTGCCCTTATTAGGTATTGCGTACTGAGGATGTTTTTCTTTTCCTTTTTTACGCGCAGGTGGCGTGTTAGATCTACTTAGCATGCCCTGGCGCCCTAAAGAATAAACATGATTTGATGTATTTACTCTTCAAACGCTTAGCCAATCAGTGAGACTGATTTTATACTTTTAGGGATACACCTGCTATGAATGGACTACTGTTGACCACAGACTTCCTACCTTAACTGAAAATAATTTGCCTCTCCGCTTTAATTCCTCCTTTTGCAAAACAAAATATGCATTTGTGACTAAGATGAATCCTTATTATAAAAGATCAATTCATATCAAACTTCACTGGAGCCCAAAGTTCATTTATACTTAAAAGGAAACGAAGGCGCGAAGCTGGTAATTTAGTACAGCTTGATAAGACAAAGGAGCTCTTACTAAACTTTCCAGGCGTACTTTTTAAACGCTGAAGCTGAAAAGGCTTCCGCTCTTGCTGCTAATATAAATACTCATCGGCGAAAAGTCACCTTTTTAAAATAAGATTGACTTCATGCGTAATAAAATAGGCAGAGTGAAAAATAAATCGCTACGATGATGATAATAGGGTTTTCACATAGTGAGTCTGAGACGGTCACTTTTAATGCAACTCTTCGTGCGGCTGGATACAGAGTTAAAAGTTGTAGTTTACATACTCTTTGGAAGATAATTCAAACAAGAGGAATCTATCCCATCAGTAAATTTCTCTCCGACAGCTTCCCTTGTAACAGCAATAAGTTAGAAAGGATTGTGTAGCCAAGAAAATTTCCATATTTTCTTGAAACTTTACTATATTTACATTTTTTAATTAATCTTGCACAACACTATAAAAACACATCATACCACATCATACCACAACACATCAGATCTTATTTCATACATACTGAGATTTATACTGTAAAATATTATCTTTCTTGACTCTGATTGGACGAGCGTTCATGAAAATAATTCAGGTGTTTCCCAACAGGCCAAAGAAAGTAAAAAACCAACCGGCATTCCAGTCAATATCCATCTTCTGCTCGCTGTGAGGCTGAATTTGGAATTGATGATGAAAATTTGCCGACGAGTTTGGAGCGTTGATGGATGCAAAGGTATTAAATTGACGGGTTTTTCAGATTGTAACACGAGGGTGAGTTCTTTTAACACACGTTTGAGTGCGACTTTCTGGAGAGCCAATTGGTCTCTGACTTGTGCCCTTTTAACATCGTTAAGTGTGGTCAGTAAATTATATTTGCTCGGCTTCCGCATATTTGGGTTTTTTGTCACTTTTGTTATTTAAATAAATCAACAAACACAGTTACTTCCTGTCATGTCAGGACAAAATCAGACAAAATGTATTATGTCGGTATTGATTCATTTTAACCCGCCGTATATACATATCTCATGCGATCCTACAGAGCTGCAGTTTATAAAAGTCGTTGAATGACATAACGCAACATATTTTTCTGCGCGCATTTAAGCTGTGAAGCGACAACAAAACATAAAGACGGGAGCCACTAGTCCTTGAACCTACGTACATATACCCTCCTCTCCACTCTCATGGACATTATTTTTTGTTTAATTTCGTCTCTCTACATTCTTGTAATTATACACAAATTCTCAGTGTTCAGATCTAATCGCTGTAACAGATGGCTCAAGGCTTACGATAGAGAAAGTACAGTTGTTTACAAGTTCTTTACTTTTAATCGGTTTCAATCGAGAGAAATCTTAAGGTTTTCATGAAGCATCTTATGATCACTTGCAGTTACATTGTTTTTCAAGCCTTTATTCGGACAATGATGGCGATGAAAGACCTATGCAAAAAAGTCATCTATCGTGCATATTTGGGGAGACTCTCTTGAGCACAGATATTTTCAGTCGTGTGTCAGTTTTTACCCATTTTCATAGTCACCGAGGTATGAATTTATCTCGCGGCTTGTTACTCTGGATGAACCTGGGAGGGACATCGTTTCAGTTTCCTTCTGCAGCAAAGGAAAGCTTTTGATTCTGCTTTGATATCTTCTTTGAGAAAAGCGTACACAAGAGGGTTCAACGTAGAATTGGTCAAGAGGAGCATTTCAGCTGCCACTGTTTCATAATAGGACTCATCACAGAGATTAAAATAAAAGCATATCGACAGATGGATATCTATTCCGTAAAACGCCATACATATGATAACAAGCACAGTTACCAGCCTGACTGTGGATGTTTTTAATCCTACATTTCTAACCTCCATTATTTTCACCGAGTTTGCTGCTACGTTAAATCTCACCTGTTTCAAAAGAACTTTCATCTCACGAGAGAGTTTGCGAGCAATTAATAGGATATGGAGATGTGCTGCGAAAAGAAATATTGTTGGTAGGAATAGGAAAAGCATGATGTGAATGAAAGCGAATACAGGCGTTTCTGCGATTAAATCCTCACCGCTGCCAAGATAGACCATAAGCCGGAAAATGGCTAAAAGAAAAGGAAATGCCCAGCAGATCGTGATAACGGTGACTGCCCTAGAAGTGGTCAGGTAATGGATGTATCTCAACGAATGTACGATAGCGATATAGCGTTCACCAATCATAGCGATCAAGCAAGTGACAGAAACTTCACTGAAAAAGTTCGCGAATATGAGGCGAAGGCCGTTGTTGCATGTATCCACAAGCACATTGCAGATCATGGACGCTGGAAAATATCCGTAAGTAACACCCAGATCGGCCACCGCCAAGGAAAGGATGAACCAGTTTGTAGTCGTTTGTAGCCTTCTTCTTTTAGCGATGATGAAAATAATCCAGGTGTTTCCTAACAGACCAAAGAAAGTGAAAAACCAACCTACAATCCAGTCAATACCCATCCTTTTTTGATTTCGTAACTGTATATGGATCTGGATGGATGATGAAAATTTATATTGGAGCATTGATAGAAGCAAGTGCGTTTAATTAAAGGGTTTTCAGAATGCCACTCGGAGGCGAGTTCTTTCAATACAACTCTATGGCTGGCTGGCTAGAGAGTTTAAAGATGTCATTTACATGCTGTCATCAAATTTTAATCACAAAAGTCTTTTCATCACCAGCCAATTGCTCGGTTACAGCCGCCTTAGCAATAATTATAAGTATCGTCACTGACATATTTCTGGACAGTATCTGCATTATTGCTGACATAGATGTTTAAAAGTTTGCCAAATAATAAACAACACACCCTTGTCTAAGGCATCACTTTTTTTATTCAAATAAATCAGTTAACAAACGACCTTATTAAAAGCGTTGGCTTCACTCTCGTGGAGTCAACCATTTTCTCTAGCCCCTCACGAAACATTAATTGCAAATTTGCTGATCTATTCTATTGATACACACAACAAGACAGTCGTAGGAGTTGAAAAGGATGAGGGTTTTCACCAAAACCATGTATTTTTCGATTTTAAACGCTAAAAAAAACATGGTAACGGTATATCCACTCCGGGGAATAAAACCGCAAACAACAGCAAGTTCAAACCACGATGAAAACGCTCACGGATCACACAGCGTAGCAGAACGCTCAAGTTTTTTCTAGAACATTGATCCGTAAAGAAATATATAACGAAGTGTACCGCATCCTTCGCCGGCAGCACATAATTGGCTAATTGCTAAGAAAGCAATTTAGTTTAAAGCGATCATTAACTAAAGAAATGGAGTTTTAGAAGCTTTTTTCCTGCCGGGGTTTCTTGGCGCGCTGCTGCGAACACTGCCAGCTGCATGTATTAGGGTGCGAGGAAATAAACAAAGACAAGTTAAAAAGCTCTTTACTCATAAACCTCTTTTACAATCTATGACCGATTTTACATCTCGTATCTCGAGTTGATTTTAAGCGAGGGAAGTTATCACAATTGAGAGTAGAGTTGGAGATGTAAAAGCGATGGAATACGTTACGAGAGGAGATATTTTGCTCGTTGGTAATTTTATTCTTCAATTCATTATTTATTTGAAAGTAAAATATCCACAACATTTAAAGGTAGACACCGCCATGACGAAAACAACATTGACGGAAAAATTACCAGAAAGGCTGTCAATGGGTTTTGCACTTACAATATGAAATTGATTTCGAGTTGATTGGTTGGTCATCGCAACAGGACAACTAATTTTTTTTACTAAAAAAACATGGCTTTTTCGCTACAGTTTTCAGGTAAGAAGTGGTCATCTAGGACTGAATAACCTGCCAAGAGCTCGTCATCTTACTCGGAAGGAATATTTGAGTTCTGATGTCAGGATTCATTCCGTAAAGCTTAGTTCATCTCGCTTTTGGGCTCCAACAGTTGGATGATACACCGTGTTTTTAAGCATCTTCCATTTAACTATTAAATTAAAAAATAACTCCTCTTCTTCCTTCTAAGCTTTCGAAGAAAAAAAGGAACACTCTTCAATATCATTTACCTCGTAATTAAAGTTCACATTAACTTTTAACTCCTGTGCAATTTGCCATCTCTAAACCATCTAGTGAGACTAATTCTTTATTGTTCTCGAAACATCTTCCATAAATATTAATGGACTCAAATGGACTATAAAGAGATCTTCGTTCAATTAGAAAAATGTGCATCATATAACCATTTTACCGATCACTTTAAGTTATTACTAAACCTTCCACGTATAGTTTTGAAAGCAGAAGCTGAAAAGGCATCTGCTCTCGCGCGTTAATATGAATATGAATAAACGGGGTAAGTTTCAAAAGAAACTGCGGTGCTGCGTCGGTCGGAGAGTGTAGCAGGTAATTAAGTGTAAACAGTTGAGTTGAAAACGTAATTTGGCCACCGTAAAGAATAAAAAAGCTGACGTTTCGAGCATTAGCCCTTCGTCATCCTAACATATCACTCTCTTCGGGCTAACGCTCGAAACGTCAGCTTTTTTACTCTTTGCGGAGGCCAATTTACGTTTTTAACTCAGCTGTTAACACTTAATTACCTAATATGAATGTGCATTGGCGAAAAGAAATTGTTTGTTGTTGAGAAGCGTTCACTTCAGTTGAAAGTTCATGCATGTTTCGAGCAAGACCCATCAAATGGATGCAGCTGTTGACAGAAGTTTTGCTTCTCATCGTACAGGGTCCAAACCAGGAATGGGTGAAGGTGACAAAAGAAGGCATATAAAGATACGTTTTAATGTCAAAAGTCGATAAAGAAGATATTGCACTCAACTGACCAGCTGTTATTTGCTCTGAACTAGAAAGTTGGAAAATAAGAAAGAAAATTTCCTTTGTAAGTTATCACTTTTGTTATTCAAATTAATCAATCAACAAACAGAGTTGCCCTTGGTCTTTTCAGCTAATCACCCAGTGGTAGTCACCAAACAAAAGTGGATTGTGTAGATAATAACCTTAATTACTTCTAACCTGACCAAACGTACATATTTCATACAATCTAATCCAGGAGTAGCTTCGAAAAAAGTCATTTATAGAACACTACAACTTTTTATCAGTACAATGTAGCCTGTGAATCGACAACAAAGCGCAAACTAGAAGGGTTAGGAGAAGTAGTCGCACGCTTAAAACCATGAGGACGCAGAATTACTCTTGTTATCTCCAAGTAGTGAAATATACCTTTACAATGGATGAATGCACTGCAATTGCTTTGAAGACAAGGAATAATATGGGAAGAAGAAAAGTGGACCAACTGATCAAACTGCAACTATAGTAACATATATAAAAATACCAAAATCATCGAACGTTCTACCAAGTGGTAACAGTATAAATGTCATGCGAGTCACTAGAGTGTTGGTTGAGGAGCGATATTTTGTTTATTGTGCAAGTTATGAGACAGCTTTCACTTTTCTTAATTGAAATATCTCTTACACTTCCGGGCATGTAAGGCTTGAAACTGGCTGTTCGTTCATAAAAATGTACGAGGGGACTATTTCTTGGATTGTTATAGCGGGCGCTAGACAAAGACAAAGACGGATAGAGCAGCTTACGATTCCAGACTAGGGAATAAGCATTCTTAATTTTCCGATCACTTTGAACACTTTGTGAACTTTCCGCGTGTTATTTGGAAATTAAAAGCTGAAAAATGCATCTGCTCTTGTAGGCTAATGTAAATATGCAACGGCGAAAAAAGAGGTTTTTATTTGCTCTCTAGAGGCGTTCCAAAAATTCGATAGAAAATTTTTGACAGCTTATGGAAACATGTTTTATTGAGGGGTGAAATTAACTACCGACCTGTTGAAATAGTATAAAAACATTCAAATCGCTCAATAGCCTTTTGCTTTAATTCCATGAATCGACAGGACTATAACTAGTACTAAATCCAAATGTATTTACAATGTTCACGGGCCATTTTGCATCACTTCATACTTTGTCGTGTTAGCATTGCTGAATGGAAATCTTCTCCTAACTTGTCACTCTGGAGAACCTGGAAGGGATGTATTTTTCAGTGCCTCTTGCGGCAAAGAAAAGCTTTTGATTCTCTCTTGATATCTTCTTTGAGGAACGCGTACACAAGAGGATTCAACGTAGAATTGGCTAATAGAAGCAACCTATTTATCACTAGTGTATGTTGGGACACATGACAAATTTTGAGAGCCTGGCAGATCAGGATGTGAAAATTTACTCCATTACAAGCGGTAAAAATAGCAACAAGTACAGTAATCAACCGCACTGTGGATGCTTTTAGTCCCACGTTTCTAATTTCCTTTGTTTTCAAAGAGTTTGCAGTTATGTTAAATCTAACTTGTTTCATGAGAGCTCTCATTTGCAGAGAGAGTTTGCGACCAATTAAGAGGATATGAAAATGTGCTGTCAAGAGAAGTACTGTTGGTAATACTACAAAAAGAAAAATGTAAATAACTCCTAATAAAGGGAATTTTAAAACCGAATGTCTTACCCCGCCGGCAAGATACATGGCGAGTTGCAAAACGGGAAATAGAAATGGAAATCCCCAACAGGCCCCAATAATAAAGAATGTTCTTCTGGTGGTCGTGAAGACACGGACGTATTTCAGCGAATGCACGATGGCAACATAGCGTTCCGCAACCATGGCGATTAACCCCATGGCGGAGACGTTCACGAAGGAAAAGGCGAAAATTACGCCTATTCCTTCCTTGCACGTATCCAAAATCACTTCGCAGATCATGTAGGGCGAAAATGCACAAGTAACACCCAGATCAGCCGCCGCCAAGGAAAGAATGAACCAGTTGGCTGTTGTCCGTAATCTTCTCCTTCTTGCGATGATGAAAATAACCCAGCTGTTACCAACCAAACTTAAGAAGGTGAAAAACAGAAAAACCACCAGGATAAAATCCATCCTTTACGGGTTGTCTCACTGAATCTGCTCCTGTAAGGTAAATTTGCTGTCGAATTGTAGCGTTGAAGAAAGCAGATATCAGGTATTAGAACGAGTTTTCAGATCCGAGTCGGAGGAGACCTCTTTGATACAACTCTGCATGCGGCTGCTTAAAGAGCTCAAAGATATCAGTTAATGGTAATTGGACAACAAATTTCAATCAAAAGAAGTCCTTCTTCATCAGCTAATAACTCTCTGATAGCGTTCCTTCTAACAACAATAGGTAACGTCACTTATTTTTATTAAGTGTTATTATTTTTTTGCACAGTTTTGGCATTTATGGACCTTTTTGTCAACATGGACAATTACGAGCTTGCAAACTAATAGAGCATACCCGTTCCATGTCATTGCCTTTTATTCAGTCAGCAAAGCGATCGAGAGTAACGTTTGATTTCGACAGCCAATAACTTATTGATCATCACCAAACAGTGTCTTGTGTCGGTGATACCTTCTCACATATTTTTATGATCATTATCGAAATACATGCTATGAATGAACTGAAATGGAACCAAGACTTCCAACATCAGCTAAAAGAATTATGCATCACCACT